GATGGTTATGAATTGGCTTTAGCTATGCCCTCTTTGTGGCCACCACATTCCCAGAAACATTAATATTTTTGCCTTACTACTTGTCTTTACAAAGTCACACCCATTGTTGAATGTTCCTCAGCAGGAAATGAGAGGCACACCAGTCTTTTCATATGTGCTTCTAGAGAGAAGAGCATTGCCAGCCACTTGCGGAAGGAAAGCCCTAGTTACTAGGGGTGCATTAGCCTGATAAACTGTCATGGAAGGATGTTCTGAAAAATGTAGAGGAAATTTCCTACCTCTCATTGCCCTCTCTGGCTGGGAGGGAGTGAAGAATTACCTATACCCCCTATAGCATGTGCTAAGTTCCTGAGCAACCTTAGTGGAACAAACATTGATATAAAATGGGACTCCAACCTGATGCATTGATACAACTAGAGGAGGGAGGTCTCATCGCATCATCTTTATTAAATGGGGTACCATGTAGCACCATGTGAACTGTCCCTTTTGATGAATGTCCCTGATGTAGGGAAACACTCTGACATGCCAAATTAAGAGTAGATGATCATTTAATAAGCTTTAATTGTTTCTCTTCTAGGAAATGGTTATGATGCTGAAATGCAGTTGAAGATGTACTTCATGAGTGCTTTGTCCAATGAATATAGCAGAGGAGGTTGAATCCTTTCTTCAGTTTCAGGTATCTTTCTTCCACCATTCCCCAGTCTTCTTTGGGTTTCCAGATTCATGATGGCTTATTTCTTATTGTTTTACATTTTTGTAAAGAAGGGGAGAGGAAAATTTCAAAGGGTTTTCAAGACACATGTCTGAAGCAACAACAACAACAAATGTTTATTCGGCTATTACGCCCATCATGAAGCACAACACAACAAAACAAATCAAATAAAACAGCGGACTCATACAAACCTGTCTGAAGATATCTTTCTGTTTTTGATCTCTAATGGGTAGATGAATTTTTGCTTGCTGGATTATGCTGTGATGAGCTGTGGGCCTGTAGAAACTGCTCCGAGACAGGCAGATGCACATTGATCTCAATATGGACCTATGAACTTTGGGTGTTCTGTGACTTCTTTCAGGGGATGGTGTGGCTGCTTGAAGAAACATGAATGTTCTTGATGCTACTGTTTGCTCTCCCTTTATGCTTTGGCATTAATATTAGATTGGCAAACTTCAAGTTTATTACCGTGAATTTATCATATGTAAAACAGATCTGCTGTCATGTAATTTGCAGTTCTGGGTTGTATCCAGTGGTTTTGCCTTAGTTAGAACAGAAAGCAATTCTGCTTATGCAAATTGGGGTACCCAGTTTTGTTGTTTTGCCTGTAATTTTCCTTCCCAAAGGCTGATCCATAGCAGAATGGAATAATGGAACACACCAAAATTCTATATCTAGACTCTTGTGGTTGCTGCAAAGGAAAAACCACAATTGAAGTCAACCCACTGTTTCTAGGCTCTGTATTCCAATCAGTATGAAGAAGTGCTATTGATTTGTGTTTTTCTTGTTTCCTAGTGAATGTACGCAAGGTATATTTTGGGACAGTTATACTATGTGGAGTTGCAAGCAATCAACTACTGTACCAGAGGTAGTCGGGAATACAAAAGAAGGAATTATTTGAGGAGGGTAAGTAGATTAAAGCTGCCAGAGATAAAACAAGAATGACATTTAAATTTAGAGTGTGGGTATTCTTTGTGATGTGCTTGGACAGTCAATGGGTGCTTGTGATATAGAACCTGCTCTTCTTTATAGAATAACAAGTGCTGTGTGGATTCCATGTAACTCATGACTTAATAGTGCAAGCATGAGTGCTATGTGATGAAAAAATTGTAAGACTGTTAACAGATTTAAAATGAAACCAATAAATAATAATAATAATGCATTCTGAGCGGTTTCCAACATAATAAAAGCACAGAAAATATCAAACATTAAAAACATCCCATACAGGACTGCCTTCAGAAAGTTTTGTAGATGTTTATCTGTTTAACATCTGATGGGAGGGCATTCCCTTGGGTGGGCGCCACTGCCAAGAAGATGCTCTGTAGCATCCCTTCTCTCAGTGAGGGAACCGCCAGAAGGCCTCCTGATCTGGATCTCAGTGTCCGGGCTGGACGATGGAGGAAATGCTCCTTCAGGTTTACAGGGCTCTTTAGGTCTTCAAAGGTCAGCACCAACACTTTGAACTGTTCTCAGAAATCCTGGGAGCCAATGTAGGTCTCTTAGGACTTATGTGGTCCTGGCAGCTGCTCCCAGTCACCAGTCTGGCAGCCACATTATGTTTTCACTTGAGTTATGAACAGATACATGGTGTGTAGTGTTTAAAATCTGTTTTGTATTTTAAATCTTGTGTTTTAAAGCAGTGGTTCACAATTAGCTAAGTACTGTAGACTCCCTGTTTTTTAAAGCCATGGACCCCTTACTTTTGAAAATTTTGATACCTCTGGTAGTTTTTTGTTATGTGAATGGTGCCACAGATCCGGGGGGAGGCTGCAGACCACCAATTGGGAACCACTGTTTTAAAATAGAGTTGTAATTTTTATCTTGATTTTATTGTTCTATCGTCTTGTGGACTACTTGGGGAGATTGTGGACTCTCCTTCCTTGGAGGTTTTTAAACAGAGTTTGGATGGCCACCTGTCATGGATGCTTTAGCTGAGATTCCTGCATTGCAGGAGGTTGGACCAGATGACCCTTGGGACCCTGGAACTCTTACGATTCTAGAAGATTGAATCTGTTTAACATTTAAAGACAATAAAGCTAATAAAGCTTTAAACTGAAAATTTTTATTTTTGCTGAATTTATAAACTTTAGATACTTCTGGATACTTAGTTGAGTACCGTATTTTTCGCACGATTGGACGCACCGGACCATAGGACGCACCTAGTTTTTTTGGGGGGAAATAAAGGGGAAAAAAATTCCCTTTATTTCCCCCCAAAAGCAGGTCAGGGAAACCGAACCAGGTCGAGGAACAGCGGGATAGTGGCGCTGCGCCTCCCTGCTGTCCCCCGAGCTTGTGGGGCTGGCTGATGTCTGCCTGGCGTGCGGGGCGCTCTGCTTCAGGGCGCCCTACCCGCCGGGCGGCAGGCTGCTATCCGCAGTGTGGGGAGCCCTGCAGGGAACTCCTGCAAGGCTCCCCACGCTGCGGATGTCTGCCCGGTGAGAGGGGCGCTCTGCTTCAGGGCGCCCCTCGCGCCGGGCGGCAGGCTACTATCCGCAGCGTGGGGAGCCCTGTGGGGAACTCCTGCAAGGCTCCCCACGCTGCGGATGTGTTCCCGAAACGCCAGGCGCTCTGCTTTTAGGGCGCCCGACGCTCCGGGAAGCAGGCTGCTATCCGCAGTCTGGGGAGCCCTGTGGGGAACTCCTGCAGGGCCCCCCACTCTGCGAATGTCTGCCTGGCGCGAGGGGCGCTCTGCTTCAGGGCGCCCCACCCGCCAGGCAGCAGGCTGCTATCCGCAGCCTAGACACGGCTAGCGCTTGGGGCGCGCTGAGCTCCGCACGCCCCAAGTTCGGGATTAGCGCAGTGGTCCACTAGCCCTGGGAGAGCCGCGTGACGTCGCGGGGCTCTCCCAGGGCTAGCAGAGACCTTGCCGGCACCCAGAAGCTTGGGGCGCGCTGAGCTCCGCACGCCCCAAGCTTCGGGATTAATGCAGCGCTCCGCTAGCCGTGGGAGAGCTGGGTCTCCCACGGCTAGCAGATAGCTTCTTGAAGCCTGGAGAGCGAGAGGGGTCGGTGCCCCTGCATTCGCTCCATAGGACGCACACACATTTCCCCTTGCTTTTTAGGAGGGAAAAAGTGCGTCCTATGGTGCGAAAAATACGGTAGTTTCATCTATTTACATGGGTAACATTGTTGCACTTCTAAATAAGTAAGCACTCAACCCCCTACTTTGATATGATTGGAAATGGTTGAAGTTTGTGCGTGTACATTTAAAAAGCAGATACTGGGGGTTGGGGTGGGGGCGAGAATGTGTAAAGTTCAGCAGAGGTATGAAAGAAGGCCAGCTAGAGGTAAGGTGTATTTATTGCACCAAACGTTTTGCAAATACCTATCTTGCTAGAGATGATTGTGCAAACGTTTGGGGTTATTTTTGTTCTTAACAGGCTGGATAAAGCTGAAAAATGTCATTCAACTTTCAGTGTGAAGAATACTTCATGGAAATTTGAACGGAAACTATTTGACTCCATGTACCATATTGAGAGGACTCCCTGGAGAAGACACTGATGCTGGGAAAGATGGAGGGCACAAGGAGAAGGGGGCGACAGAGGAAGAGATGGTTGGATAGTGTTCTCGAGGTTACCAGCATGAGTTTGACCAAACTGTGGGAGGTAGTGGAGGACAGAGGTGCCTGGCGTGCTCTGGTCCATGGGGTCACGAAGAGTTGGACACGACTAAACAACAACTATATTGATCTGCTCATTTACCTAAAAAAAATCCAGTATCCAGAACATTACGGGATGTTCTCATTAACTGCTTTCAAACAAAACTGGCCTGTTTTCCATATGAATGGAACAAATGAATTTGTTGTTTCAAAAAAAGTATTACTACTAAGAAGTACTACTGCTTTGTTTATAGTAATCAGCATCCATCTGGGATAAATATACCTACTGCATATACTTACTTTCCCCACCTGTTTCATAAATGCCTCTGGGGCAGTTCAGTAGAGCTTGTTCAAGGGAATCAGAAGTGCTCAAAGTTCAGGTATGGTTGTTCTAGCAGTTTTGATTTGAGGCTACACTTTCTGCTTTGTGCAGAAAGTTCATCCACACTGAACTGCATTCGTATCACAATGCCAAATGGAACACAGATCATGCCCGGTGGTAATCAAGATCGTTCTCCAGCCAAAAAGGACCCAAAGTAGAAAGTGCAGCACTTTACAATTATTACAACACGTAGACAAATCAATCAAGTGGCCCACCAGGAGCTTCAGCAATTTTCAAATGATAGGTGGTTGGGTAACCACCAATGTGAGACACACACATAAGTACTATCAAAGGTGTTAACAACTGAAATTTCCTTCGGACAAAATATTTATAGATGGTTATGCTTTGAACAAATATGGGAAAACCCAAGTTTTATGTACCACAACATATGCCAGATTGAAGCTACCTTTTGGGACTTACATATTTCACACAAATTTCATTTCTCATTTAAAAGTTGCACTACTTCCTATAGTTTTTCTACATTTTCACTGACACATTGCTTGATATACAGTAGAGAGAGTTTCAATATGAAGTTTTATCTTTTAACAATGTTTCATCTTACAAAGAAGTTTTATAATTCATACAGCTTACATTTCATTTGTACAGAAATGCTGCTAGCCAATAAAATTGTGTCCATTTATTAGGACACCAGATGAATCCTTTAGGGAGTGAGGAGATAGAATAAGTCTATAAATATGGTCTGTCTTAAAAAAACCAATTTGAAAGTATCTGTTAAAAGTTTAGTTATGGAAAGAAGTACAATTACAGGGTTTTTTTCCCAGGCTTAACCACAACCACCGCCATTGATAAGCCACAATCTTTTATTAAGGCAAAAGCCTATCTATATTCCTGTATTTAAACTGCAATAGCAAATATAGCTCTGCCTGCTTTAAAAAAGCGTTAGCTTAAATACAAACACTGAAGTAGGACAAAATTTAGCATCTACAATCAAGAACCAGACTTTTAAAAGAGTCTTCATCATTTTAAGGGTTTTGCACCACTTCACACTGTGCAAATGCTGAAATATGCAGTCTGAACTTTGAAATGTAGAATTACAATCATTGGCACAAATACCTATATACAAACAAAATAAAACCATCTTGTCCACTTTCTTAAGCAGCACATGGCTGCTAACCTGCATAAGAATTCACAAGTAAAATAGAGACCAGGTAAAAAAGAAACGGATTGAACCAATTGTCAGAGTCCTGACTGCACCAGGAGTTCCCAAACTGCTTGATCAGTCAAAAAGGAAGAAGTAAACAAATACTTCCAAGAAAATAACTGCATCAACAGCATGAAGTTCATTAGCTTATGGCAGCTGCACTCTGTATGCACCTATCAGCAGCTTCACCTGTAAGGAAAAAAAAGCCATTGACTATCCATCCAATTAAATGCTGAAAAGGCATGGATGACATACTCACAAATACATGTATGTTCTCAAAGAGCTGCTAGCTTCACTCTCAACAGTGATTAAAGTATGGGTTCAGTTATTTTGCACAATGAACATATTTTACACAGGTATATTAAAACATTCTGATGGATGAAACAACTCCTAGTCTGAGGACCCTATGAAAACTACATCAAGCAGTAGCTCTTGCATTTTGTTACAATACACTTTGGGGACCCTGTCAGGGTCAAAAAGCAGGGTGGGAAATTATTTTAAAATATAGTCTAGTTTGATAATTTAGTAAAGGAAGGTAATTATGTATTATTGTTTTATTATGCCTTTGTTCTGCTTGTTTTTTTAGTTTTGTGAACCGTCCAGTGATCTTTGGATGAAGGGCAGGGTACACATTTAATAAATAAACGTATCTGCATTGTTTCCAACCACTTCACAAACTGAGTAGATTTACTGAACTCGTCGGTGATGACTAACTTAAGCTGATTTATTTCCTTAGCTCTACTGAATGTCAGTTTGTGTACATGCACCTGGACTTGCATTTCTCACCTTGGCAGTAGGAGCTTCCACCAATCGTATGAAGAGTTTGTTAAGGCCTGGAATAGGACTGAAGGAGTAAATGAAGTGACTGTCCTAAAAATAAAAAAGAAAGAAAAGAGCAAATTATTCTTTGCCCACATGTCACAATATTATGCTCCTGGTTAGCTAGACAAGCTGCAAGAGAACCATCAACTCTTCACCTGCAACCCCTTTTTGAACAACGTGTGTGTGTGACTAAGCTGAGCAAAGACTCAATGGTGGCCATAAGTTTAACGGGAAACAAAGAACTCTGCTGCTGCTGCTGCTGCAACATCACATTCTTGGATGTTTCCCTCCCTGCTTGTTCACCTACGCAGCCTCGCACTGAATTGAATAACAAACTCTAATGCCAAGCCTAGGAGCTCTGGCACGATGGAGAGCGCACGGAAGTTTTCAGAGACAGATATCTGGCAGGGGTGGCAGCGTGAGAGACACCTGAAGATGGGTTCGGGTCTCACCATGTTCTTACAGACTTAGGCTTTAACAAGCTACAATGATAGACCCAATGCTAGCTCTTAGTCATAACAGCAATATAAAAGCTCAGGGACAGTATGCTACCCACTGTGGGTAGCTGGGAAGCAACAGGAAGAGGGGTACTGCCTTCATGCCTTATTTATAAACTGCTCTCTGAGGCATCTTGCCACGGTGGGAATAGGATGCTAGATGAGGTGAAGCTTTGGTCTGGTTCAACAGAGCTGATGCATTCTTAACTGGTTTTGATCCCTGGAATTCTTAACGTGGGTGGAGATGAGCTTAAAAGCTTCCTTTCGTAAGTCTCTGTGAAGAGGTGGAGCTCGTCTATAGCCCTGCCAATTCTGTTGGGCAGACACTGGCAGGGGACTTAGCGAAGGGTTGTCTTTGTAGCTGCTCACATTAAAGGAGCCCAGAACAGGGAGGGCATGAGGCTGGGCAGAATTGGCACCAATGCCAGAGTAATATTAATTAGCCTAGCCACTCACCTGGAACATCCGCGAAGAGAATTGCTCATTCCACGAAGGATGAAAAGCTCTGTGGGGCTGGGAGGGAGGGTGAGAGGATGAGAAGGAGGCAACGGGTAACTTGGCTACTCTAGGTATTGAGCTATAGGGCAGAAGGGAGCAAGACCTCCACATCCTGCTCATTATTATTTTACTACTACTATTATTACAGTATTTATAGCCCACCTTTCCTCCAAGGAGCATAAGATGGTACAAATGGTTCTCCACCTCCATTTTATCCACACATCAATGCTGTGAGGTAGCTTATGCCGAGATACTGTGCCTGACTCAAGGCAAGCTTCACAGCTGAGTGGGGCTCTGAATCACGGTCTCATTAGTGGTAAAGGTAAAGGGACCCCTGACCATTAGGTCCAGTTGTGACCGACTCTGGGGTTGCGGCGCTCATCTCGCTTTATTGGCCGAGGGAGCCAGCATACAGCTTCCGGGTCATGTGGCCAGCATGACTAAGTCGCTTCTGGCGAACCAGAGCAGCACACGGAAACGCCGTTTACCTTCCCGCTGGAGCGGTACCTATTTATCTACTTGCACTTTGACATGCTTTCGAACTGCTAGGTTGGCAGGAGCAGGGACCGAGCAACGGGAGCTCACCCCATTGCGGGGATTCGAACCGCCGACCTTCTGATTGGCAAGTCCTAGGCTCTGTGGTTTAACCCATAGCGCCACCCGCGCCCCATTAGTGCAATACTAACCACTAAACCACACTGGCACGCAACAGGGTCCTAGGAAGAGAGCTGATTTTTATCTTGCTGCAACATGTCACTTGCAAAGCAGTTGCAGATGTCTGCTGCCCACCTCACCATCTGATATTAGAAGTAAATACAGCTTTAAAAAACCCCACCGTGGACTCTGCTTAGCTCCGCAGATTTCCCCTACTTCAAAATACACTTATTGGGGTAAGCAACAGGGTCAACTAAGAGCTGTGCCCCAAGTGCCTAGGATGAAGTAGAAAGAAAATCTGAACCCCATTTAATTTGCTTGTGCCTTCAAAACCAGAAAAAAAAACCTAAATGGGGAACTCTGTTGTTAACAGAACTCTTAAGAAGTACGGAAATGTTCCAGAGCTTGCTATTTCCCTCCCATTTGATAAGCCAGCATTAGGGAAATGTTTACTTGATGTTATATACGAAAGTTAAGCTCCCTTTTTACATAAAATCATAGGTAATCCTACTAGTCCCTTGGGGAAAAAATCCAAAGTGTATAGTAAGCCAACTTTTATTAGGGCCAACTAATATGTTACCAAGTAGAAGAAGAAGAGTTTGGATTTGATATCCCACTTTATCACTACCCTAAGGAGTCTCAAAGAGGCTAACAATCTCCTTTCCCTTCCTCCCCCACAACAAACACTCTGTGAGGTGAGTGAGGCTGAGAGACTTCAGAGAAGTGTGACTGGCCCAAGGTCACCCAGCAGCTGCATGTGGAGGCGCAGAGATGCGAACCTGGTTCAACAGATTACGAGTCCGCTGCTCTTAACCACTACATCTCACTGGTACTAAGCAAGCTTATAAGCAAGCAAGTTCTCCAGAACAATTCGTCTATATGCAAATCAAAATTTTGGGGAGGTGGACAAAAAGCTGGGAATTATGTTGAAACACAAAAATCTTACTATTTGAAGTTGTCTTAATACAGGAAATGTTAGGCAACTTCTATTAATAGCTGCTAGGTGCAAAAAGATTTCAGGATACACCAAGAACTGGTATAAAAACATCAAAGGCTATTTCCCTATTAAGCAAAGGCTGTCAGGAAGTAGGGAGAGAGTTCCTTGTGCAAAGGCGCTTGGGGTGCCCTTTATGCAGCAGGGCCAAAGCTGGCACACTTCCTCTCATATTTTTCCTCAGGAGAGGCCTGCAGGGTTTGCACTGGGATGGGCTATACTGCCCAGCAAGGCCAGCCAAAAACTGCAGGCAACATTGGTAGGAATCCAGAACCAAGACGTTACAAGTAAGAGGGCCAACATTATCTATACCCTCAACTGATAACACAGGTTTGAAAATTTTCCAAGGCATTTTGATGAGCTAAAAGTGCTTATTAAAACAGTAAGCAATACTAAAGCAGCATTTAAGGTGCGCTGACACATTCTGTTTGACATCACAAAGTACGAAACTCTGGAGAACAGGCTTATATCCAAGGTCTAAAGATTTACCTGAACAGTAGCATCATAGAATCATAGAGTTGGAATAGACCACAAGGGCCATCGAGTCCAACCCCCTGCCAAGCAGGAAACACCATCAGAGCACTCCTGACATATGGTTGTCAAACCTCTGCTTAAAGACCTCCAAAGAAGGAGACTCCACCACACTCCTTGGCAGCAAATTCCACTGTCCAACAGCTCTTACTATCAGGAAGTTCTTCCTAATGTTTAGGTGGAATCTTCTTTCTTGTAGTTTGGATCCAGTAACATTGATAAGGAATGATGGGGCTTTCAGAATTTTCTGATACCCTCAAAAGCTATCATGCCAGCCATCAGGCTTTAGTTTAAAACTCTTTAATTAATTTAATGGATTTAATTCATTTTACTCTTACTGTATTGAGTCACCTGTACACTTGTTACAAACAACTGTGATTAAGCAGTATACAAATGGTTGATATATATAGATATATCTTTTTATAAGCAAATATGTCTGGTATAAATAATAGAATCACAGAGTTGGAAGTGATCCCGAGGGTTATCTAGTCCAACCTTCTGCAATGCAGGAATCTCAACTAAAGCATCCATGACACATGGCTACCCAACTTTATATTTCTGAATAATTGTTATATGGTCAGTGAAGAACATGAAACATTTACCAAAAAGACAGGGAACTGGAATTTATCATTCAGAACCACAGCTTGTACACCACATGGTCCACAGAGCCGAGCAGCAACAACATTACCGCAGAAGTTTGCATGGAAAATAAATAAAAGAATGCCAGAACCTGTGGAAAAGAAACAATCATGCATTAAAAGAGTACAATCCAAATGATGAATTGCCACTTATATGAGGAAATGCTTAAAATCTGTCTCGACAAGCAAATGTTTGAAAAGCCTGAGATTTTAACTGTGGGTAACATACTTAAATACCAACAGTCTGATCAAAACTGATCAGATGACTCAAAGAATCTGTAATACATAATAAAAGTTTGGAGAAAGACTCAAAAAATCCACATGGAAGAGGATAAACTGGCAACACAGCCTGGATTACATTGTTCTTATACTAAGCCCTCAATTTACGCAGAGATTATGTTATGTGGATCGCACCTAAAGCCAAAATCACCTAGTCAAAACATATAGTGCAACGGTGGGTGGGAATGCCAAAGTCTTTTTTCCTGGACACCTACCCCCTTTTAAGTCCCCTCCCAAGTGTGTAAATCTTAATGTGCACATATTTAATGTGCATAAATTGTGGGCTTAATCTATTGACTAGCTGGGCAAATTCCCTCCATCCGCCCTTGTAAAACAACTATCCCTGTTACAAATCAGAAAGAGGCACTCTGGACAGCAAATCCCGAACTGTTTCAAATTACCGTATTTTTCGCCCTATAACACGCACCCGACCATAACACGCACGTAGTTTTTAGAGGAGGAAAATCTGTAGGCATGCCACCCGTAGGCATTCCCTCCATAACACGCACAGACATTTCCCCTTACTTTTTAGGAGGAAAAAAGTGAGTGTTATGGTGCAAAAAATACGGTCATTTTGAGATGCTAAGTATCTGTTTCCATTGCCAATCCTGAAAAGCACATGACTGCCAGACAAGGAACAAACAAAATAAAACAGCCGCATTTCATTTTGGCGACTCTAGTTCTTATTCCCTACCATTTGGTTCCAATAATTTTACCATAATATTTGGATATGCTTTTTTCTCTCTCAGACCATAATCTCTCTACTGCCATAAGAATCAGGTAAGCTCAGTGTTTCAGCTACCCAGAGATTAAAGCATAAATGTTGCTATCTGCCCAGAGGGTGGGTGGACTCTCACTCACTCACACACAGTTCAATGTTCGAAGAAAGAATGCCTTCTCATACAACCTTCAGGCACAGTCTGTGGGGGTTTATAGGTGAACTCTGAAGAATAATCTGGTCCCTCACAAAGCCGATGACACGCAATATCAAGCACAGGTTCCATCAAAATAAGACGGGCTTCAAAGTATTCCTTGATTGTGTCTTCTGCCACTCGCGAGAGTCTAAACAAGGAAAGACAAAGTCAAGCTGTCGACATTATAATTTATGTAAATAAATTATAGTTACCCTTTTTTCAGTATCATATCTATTATAAACACAAAACCTTGACTACTACTTCAAACTAGCAGTTGACACAATTTTGTTCTCAACCATTTCTAGTTGAGTAGCGTAAATCCAACGCCATACAGAAGCTCTGGACAGATTTTTATTACCAAGTGTTTTGATTTTAAAATATGGCATTATGTGTACGCACTTCCATTGTGCTTTTAAAACTTCATACAGGACGAGCAAAGCCCAAATAATCCATCAACAAAGGAAAATATAGTTAGTCAGGGCAGCATCTTCCAAACTACTAACCAACAGTGAAAGAGAGAAAAAATCTCACTTTATAGCCAGTGTGCGGAGCCCTTTATTCCACCAGCTGTTGAGGACTACAACTCCTATCATCCACAGCTATTGTCCATGCTTGCTGAGCTGATGGGAGATGCAGTTGAGCAACATCTGGAGGGACAAAGCTCCCCCACACCTGACTTATACTGATGACGTTCAGTACATCAGCCGTAGCCTAGATACTTTGCACCCTTACGTTAGCTAATGAATAAGGCAACTTGGCTTGCAAATGTACAACGCTGCCTTATTTGGAGTCCACTTAGCTGAATAATGTCTAGGCTGGCAATTGATGCCTATGGTTTTAAGCAGGAGTCTTCCCCAGCCTGACTTGGAGGAGCCTATGCATTAAAATGTAAGGCCCTTTGTAGAACTGTGCTATAGCACCTCCTCAAACTGAAGTGTAAATTTTATTCTTCAGCAAATTCCATTAGCTGTTATCTGCTGGGTTTATCCAGAACCTTTGGCAAGGCCCTGAAACCTGTTGCAAATTTTCTAGGCAAAACTCCTATTCCCTTGGGTCTAGTACACTTCCAAGTACCAGACTCCTTTGTAGCAGAGTATCATGCAGCTTCCAAGTTTGTAGTAGTTCAAAGTCTAAGATGGAATGTAGAAATAAATCACAGGAAACAATTCAGAACAGACAGAAGGTGGTTGTTTTTTTACTGTCGTTCTCAAGTTGCAAACTATACAATCATCTATCAGATTCCTGATGGAGGTTCAGCTTAAATGCTCAAGGTCTAGGCCTAAAAGCTGCCAGACCTTCTCTCACGTCTTCACACTGAGAACACAGATCAGACTAAACACCTCTCTGTGCAGCCCAGAAGCCTCACATTTGTAGAACATTCTTGGAGTGACCTTGCACCTGTTGTAAACAAACTTCGCTTTGCACAGTTTCTGGAACTTCACACAGTGTTGTTTCTTGGAATGAATGACTCCCATCCCATCCGTACCTCTATACAGCTGTTGTATTTCTGAATTTTAATATTTTAACCTGTCCTGAGAGAATTCTGTCCAGAAAGCAAGCCTGTAAATACTTTAAACAAACTAAAGGACTTGCCAGTTTCCCATCTTTAAAAACCAAGACATCAGCTTAAATATAGTCCTTGATTCACTGGGTAAATTGAATCAACTCTCAAGCAAGTACTTACGTAGCCAGGTGACTTGTGAGGAGTTCTTGTACTTGTAAGTTATTATACTGTTTGGCAAAATGAAGGGCACTGGTCTGATGTTTTGATGAAATGTTGCAGTCTGCTCCACTTTCAATCATGAGACGCACAAGATCGTAGTTCCCTCTCCTGCAAGCCTGCGAGTGGAAGTTGAGAAAGCAACAGCAAAGGCACCATTATTTACCAAGTATTCTGGAGTAGGACTTCTCGTGCAAAGAAATTATGAGGTTTTAAAAACCTTTCAGATAGAGACCACACAGTCCAAATAACAGCACCAGTTCTATGTCAACCTTCACTCAATCTCAGGGGAAGAGAGAATGTGACTGAGAAGCAACCTCACACTAGATGGTTGGGGTGGAGTGAGAACAGCTGGTAGTCTTGCCCTCCATGGATTTGTGTAATCCTCTTCTGAAGCCATCAAAGTTGGTGGCCACCACTACCTCCTGTGGGAGCAAGTTCCCAGTTTAACTATGTATTGTGCACATTCTTTTATCTTAATTCAGTTTCAGGGGACGTCCACAAGTCCTAGTGTTACAAGAGAGCGAGAAAAACTTTTCTTTATCTCAGGGTTTCCCAAACTTGGGTCTCCAGCTGTTTTTGGACTACAATTCCCATCATCCCTTACCACTGATTCTGCTAGCTAGAGATGATGGGAGTTGTAGTCCAAAAACAGCTAAGACACAAGTTTGGGAAACCCTGCTTTATCCACTTTCATCCCTGTCATGCACAGTTTTACAAATTTCTAACTTATAGTCTCCTACTTGCCTTTTCTCTAAACTAAAGTCCCAAATGCTGCAATCTTTCCTCAAATGATAATTGTTCCATTCCCTTGATCAATTTGGTTTCCTTTTTCTGGACCCTTTCCAGTTCTACAGTATTCTTTTTGAGGCCAGGCAACCAGAACTGGACATGAACAAGTTAAAAAGAACAAGTCCCAATACTGATGAAGTTGGTCCCATCATTGTCAATAGGTCAACCCTGAGTAAAACTTAGTTGAGTATATCCAGTTTTTCCAAAATTCTTCAAATTTACTCCTCATAAGTCAGGCAAATAGCACATACCTTCATTAAAGCTGTTTCACCATTATTTTGCTGCAAATTTACATATGCTCCAGCTTCCAGAAGGATGGCTGCAGTAGTTAGGTTGTTCTGTAAGAAACAAAATAATGGTTAAAGTATGAATAGTCTGAACCTAGATAAACCGTTGAAAGCAGAGAATTGTCTATAGCAAACTCTAGTGCCAATGATAGCCATCCAGTGATAACTATGTCTCCAGATAAAAATGTGATAATTTTAAAAACATCTCTAAAAACATCCTTCAGATGTTTTGGAATATAATTTCCATCAGTCCAAACCAGCAAGAAGCCTGATCAACAGACTTGTAACATAATCTCATAATTTTAGGGTGCGTGTCCCCTGAAAATTCAAACAAGACACTGGAAATTCAGTTTCTTTAAAAACAGTAACCAGATACAGGGACTAACAAGTAGACCCTGGAGTCTGGAAGCCTCAGCAGTCCAATCATCCTGCTACAGACCAACTTTTAATTTATTATTCCAAACAAGCAACATTAAACAAATGAGAGCCAGTGTGGTGTAGTGGTTAAGAGCCGTGGACTCGTAATCTGGTGAACCGGGTTTGCGTCTCCGCTCCTCCACATGCAGCTGCTGGGTGACCTTGGGCCAGTCACACTTCTCTGAAGTCTCTCAGCCTCACTCACCTCACAGAGTGTTTGTTGTGGGGGAGGAAGGGAAAGGAGAATGTTAGCCGCTTTGAGAATCCTTCGGGTAGTGATAAAGCGGGATATCAAATCCAAACTCCTCCTCCTCTTCTTCTTCTTCTTCTTTTAAAGGAAATGTCCTCAATTTAAAGGGAAGGGGCAGACAGAAAAGAAACTCACCTTTTCAGCTGCTAAAATCAATGCAGTTGTTCCATTTTTTTGTTTACAATTAACTTTTGCTCCTTTCCTGATGAGAAGACGGATGATGTCATCATGACCTCCTGCAGCAGCGAGCATCACAAGAGTCATTCCACTAGCATCCTGAAACAGTGGTATATTATTGTTTGGGTTTTGGTGACATAAAGGTAATTCACAAAGCTGCTTGATGTTCCCTTTTCAATGCTTAAGCTTTTTCTTCAGGCAGCCACAGATAGGCAGGGTATAGTAAAATTATTATCATTACAGCAAAGAAAACAGGGACAATTTTTTTCATACTTCATTAAACTACTGAGATGATGGAATTCATAACCCAAGGTTATAATTTTTAATGTTTATACTTTATTTTAGAATTTTATTCTGTAGATTTATAATCTTCTCTTTGATTGGTATCTTCAGCATGGCTCACAACATTTATCAAAAACATGCATTAAAAACCATACACTTGGACTCTGGTTTCATTTTTACATTAGCGAAAGACTGCAGAAGGCAACGTAGTTCAATCTACATTAAATACAACACTACTGTGTCACCTGCATGTACAAGAAATTTGTTGAGTTAATTAAACTATTGAAATGAACACTCAAATAATTAAATTCCTGCTGTATTTTATACAGATTATTAAACTATCCATTTAACAAAAGCTTACCTCCTGATCAAGATTATATTCTTCATTTGAATTAAGTGCCATTTTCACCACAGCATACTGTCCATTTTTAACAGCATCACGCAGCTGAGCTAAAAGTAAATAGGTTCAACAGATCAATTTCAAAACTAGAGGTATGAAGATGCTCTTTCTGTCTCCACACAAACGTATCCCTCTACTAGCCTATCTAACTATCTATCGATTTACACTCCACCAACTACAAATAAAAGTTAAGGAATATAGGACACATAAGATTTTTAACACAGAAAAAAATTCAGCAATATATATATATATATATATATATATAAAATATCTAAGGGTAAGTTCGATTTTCTAAAATCTAGCAACTTATTATCAAAAAATTAGAACCTTCCAATAAAAGAACCAACAAAGACTCTGGAGGTTGTCTCAAAGGGATTATGAAATGGGATATACCATTGCTTCTTTAGCCTCCTGATAATAATTGCATTTAAAGAGAACATTAAACACTGACTCCACCTCTCTGTTATTTACAAGGGTTTTGTTATATCCGCCATCTAAAAGTTTTGCGGGCAAGGCATTTGTTACTGACCAGGTGATATTGCTTCAGCTGCCGAGTCATTCTCATCTTCTCCATCAAGATGCTTTTGAAAGTCCTCCAGCGTCAGCCGCTCTAACTGCATGTCCATGCCCAAATTCACAGTTTGCTGCTTTGCATCTACGAAGTTTGAATTTTTAGGGGGGAGAAGAGAGACAACTTTGTCATCACCAACTAAATCACAGCCTCTGCAGACATTTTATACCCTTTATCACCTATCCTTCTCCAAGTCAAGCAGAACCATAATTCACAGTGCACAGTGGGCTGGAGACCCAATAAAGTGAAGCTTCATCCAAGACTAACCCAACCTGATGGGTGGCTCATCTGCCTGGGTTCACCCAGATGGTGCTGGATGGATCTGCACTCCTGAAGATAAACGTTTGCAATCTGGGGCATTGATCCATCTTAGTCAGTGGATCATTTATTATCCAAGCAGAAATGGTATCACAACTGCATTCCAAGTTCACGTTCCTTGGCAGATGATCCCATAATCAGACCCAAAGCATCAACTCATAATTGCAGTTTTGCCCTTAGCCACTTTTGGGTTATGAGAGAACACCGGAGAAACCGCTGGATTCCCTGGAATACTGAACTGCTCAAGTTGTAGATTTTGAGATTCAAAGGGGCTTCAGACTAAGAAGTCTCGGCAGCAGGAAATAGAAAGACCAACATACACCTGCTTTTGGAGAATGGGCTCTGTCAAGAGTGTAAAATGGGGCATGACAGGGAAGTAAAGCAGAGTATGTAATTCTGAGCCATCTGAGGCCCAAGTGTGTGGGGATTTTTCAAGTGTTCAAAACAAGTTCTTTAAGCCAGAGGCCATAACTAGAACCTGTACTTAGCAAAGAACTCAAACTCAAGTAATCTATGTTGTTGTTGTTTTTATCTTTTATCCTCTACTTCACACTTCCTACATACCAGAATTGTCCTCAGTGACATCTTGGTCCCCCTCTGCTGCAATATAAGCCCAGGTATCTGTCTCATCCCTTGTGCTTCTGCTGTGCGGTTGTTTGTCTTTTGATTTGAATGCCTCTGAAGATCTGTAGTCCTGCCCCGATTCTTCTCTTTTCCGGTTCTCCAAGTATTCATTTTTTTCTTCTGAAGAAATGCTAAACCCACCAAGTGCACTCTTGACCTCTTTCAAACCTAGAACACAGTTAGCAAGATCATTGCCAATGGCACAGTTTCACTGGGTATAAAGCCTACCATAAACAAAATCTTTTTATATATCACAGCACAAGCTACTTCAACAAAAAGTGAAAGTCACTTTCTAATTACATTACAGGGATATTAGATAGATTTTCAAGCTGTTCAAAGTCAAGACATTTTGAAACTCCTTAATTTATAGTTCATGTGAAAAGGATTTAGGGGTCTTAGAAGACCACAATCTTAACATGTGTAAACAGCAGCAAAGGCTAATGTTATTCCAGGCTGCATCAACAGAAGTATAGTGTCCAGATTAAGGGAAGTAATATTACCGCTCTATTCTGCCTTAGTCAGACCTCACCTAGAGTACTGTGTCCAGTTCTGGGCACCACAATTTAAGAAGGATATTGACAAGCTGGAATGTATGCAGAGGAGGGCGACCAAGATGATCAAGGGTCTGGAAACCAAGCTTTATGAGGAACAGTTGATGAAGTTGGGTATGTTTAGCCTGCAAAAGTGGAGACTGAGAGGAGATATGACAGCCATATTTCAAGACCATATTTCAAGGGATGTCACATGGAATATGGAGCAAGCTTGTTTTCTCCTCCTCTGTAGGATTTGAAACAACTGATTCAAGTTAAAAGAAAGGAGATTCCAACTAAACACCAGGCAGAATTTTCTGACAGTAAGAGCTGTTCAACAGTGGAACGGATGCCCTCAGAAGGTGGTTGATTGTGCTTCACTGGAGTTTGGCCATCTGTCATGGATGCTTTAGTTAAGATTCCTGCATTGCAGGGGCTTAGATTAGATGACCCTTGAGGACCGTTCCAATTCTACAATTATCTGATTCTATGGAAAAAAGATTGGGTGGCATTCAATTAAGATGTACTCAGAGTAGACCCATTGAAATCAATGGCCCTAACTTGGTCATGCTCATTAATTTTGATGAGACTGCTCCAAGTAAAACAACCATTACTTTTTTAGCTTTTGAAAGGCCTTCAAAATTTATTATGAGCGACTTGATGAAGCTTAAAAATATCACTCAAGTACTGATGCTTATTTATAATGATACATTACTTTAGTACACACCTACAAGTTTCAAAAATATATTCTCCATTGTTTTACTAAACTGACTAGAACATAATAGCACCAATGTGCTAGAGTCTTCAGATTAGATCTCCCGGCCTGCATACATCATTTGGAAATTTAAGGTTGGGAACAATCAAGGCATTTGTACAATATTACCTGGGCAAGACAGTAAGAAAATATTGCATAACAAAAATAATTAATTCGCTAGTTTCGCATATGGAATGTTGTCAAAATGAAACTTAATTTTACACACTGGAAAGATATCAGCATGAAATAATTCAGGACAAAATATAACTAAACTGAACATGGTTGCAATATAAACCATAACTTTAACAGGGGCAAACTGCATACTGTACTGTACATAATTCTGGGTAGATTACACTGATGTTCTAGAATGACTTTAGAGATTACACACTTACTTTTCAATCCCTTCACATCTTTTTTGCCTTTTTCCTCCTTTTCAGAGACAAGCCTTTTCAGAAGCTTCTCTTTTGATTCACCTTTTTTGGCTTCTTTTTCCTGGAAAAGAACACTAAATATAGAAAGCAGGTTCTTAAATGCTTAATGGCAACAGAAGCTAAGAAAGCTTGAAACTTTTGTACTTAACCTTCTGCTTTGTTAGTAACAAAAAGAGCAAGGCTTGGAGATTAACTTGTAGATAGTCTAAGAAGCAGTAAACATGTTCTCAATGGCCAGTCTGTTCCACCTAAAGTTGGCCGTCATTGAAAATAAAATTGAGATGTATTTTAAGATGCTTAAGGATTCATGCAACGACCACAATCCCAAAAGCTGCTCTAAGGTGCACTTGAGGGTTTACACCTGATTAGTGGGAATCTTTGATCTTTTTTTAACAGATTCATTAGCTTTAAAAATGGTTTGCCATATTGAAGAAGATAAAAAACAATAAAAACAGCACAGCACTATTAATGCCCTTTCCTTAAAAACCACTCCGTTCCCAAAACCTGCATGTTAATTGCATTTAAGCCATTAGTTTGGCTCTAAAACCAATAAAGAGAATTGAACAGGAATTGAAGTGCCTAGAAAAGTTAATTAAGAAAAGCAGAAAGGGGCAAAAAGATGTCCAGAAAAGGGCACAAAGTAAACTATAAAACCTTTGATTATGCATTATCCACTTTAGATTACCTTAGATAAAGTGCTTCTTTCCTTTGGGATGTCATCAGTATTCGGCTCACTTTTAAAGATATTCTTCTTGCTGTCTGTATTCCCTCCTTTACTGTATTCAGAATCCAGGATAAATTTTTCAAACACATTCTCACCTATGGAATGCTGAAAAGACCTCTCTTTCACCTTCTCCTCATCTGCTCTCGTATTTACATTCTTCTCTTTGCTTTCAACAGCAGTTGACTTTAGAGAAACATCCTTGGCATAGGAAGGGCTTGACTTAGTCTCTTTGATTTTCAATTTTGAATTATTGCTTACTTCCCCTGCTGAATCAGTGGACTTGCGTCCTCGTTCATCAGCAGACAGTTTCACACCTTTCTGCAAGGGAGAAGGGGTAGCTGGCCTCTTATTGTCAGCCTCAGCTTTTACTTTATCTGCCATCTTCTGCTTTTTGTGTGCATTTTTTCTCTCCAAATTCTTGTCCACTTTTCTACTGTCCTCAAGTTCTTCAGACTTTAGGTGTTTCTTCTTTTTCCTCCTAACCCTTACTTCAGAACTATCATCTGAGCTTGCTGAACTGTCTAGCTGCCAAGCTGAAACCCTGGGCACATTTTCTTCTTCCAAGGGGTCTTTCCCAGCAGATGTCTTCTGTTTCTCCCCACTGCTGTCTGAATCGAAATCTGGAGTTTTGAAATCTGCAACTTCAGAAAATAAATCATCCAGCATGCTAGATTCAGCATCCAACTGTTGCCTACTGAATTTTCCCTTTTGCAAAGATTTATTCTCTTTAGGCTCCTCTTTCATTTTTTTCTTTCCATCTTTGATTTCTCCCTTTTTTTTACTGGTGTCTTTTAGATCTTCTCTCCTCTGCTTTTTGGAATCTTTTGTATCTTCCTTTGAATCTGAAGTCCTTTTCTTTGGTTTTGAATCTGAAGCCAAACTATCAGAGGAATTCTCACATTCTAGTGCAGGTTTTTCTTTACCTTTTGCTGATTTAGACTTTTTCTTTTGCATTTCATCTTGGCTTTTGTCCTCCTTCTCTTTGTATTTTTTCTTTTTCTTCTTTGGAGACATGTCTCCTTTTGTATCACTTTGCCAGTCACTGTCTGCTTCAGAATCTGCTTCAAAAAGATCATCATTTAAAGGCAGCTTCTAGAGAAGAGAAGGAAAGTTGATTTAGTGATCTAGTGCCTAATTAAATGGACAAATCTGGATTAATGGCACTCTAAAGTTGACTGTTGCTTCCAAGGATTTTGTTTTGAGTAAAAGAACTGAACTCATGGTCCTTTCATACAAAAGTCCAATCCTGGTTACTCCCCCAAACTTTCTTAATTTCAGCAGTATAGTTTAGGCCAGAGTCACTCTGTTATTATTGTTAAACAACTTGAAGTCAGAAATCCTTGCTGTTCTACTGCCTGTCACTCAGAGATCCACTAGTAGATCCCAATCTACCTCTTGCTCATCCTTGCCCTACAAGAGGACAGAATCCAAAGGCCATCGAAGGCACAGCCAAGGGCTCAGATGTTCCTAGTAGCATTTTTTTACTATTTTCTCTTTGACGAGGCATACTACACATTAACTCTAAAAGGAACCTGTTTCAAGAAACCCCAGGCACCCTGTGCTGTGTAGAACTAAGATGCATGGTTCTTTAGTCTTAAACTGTAACTCCTAAAAAGCATTTAACAAATGTTCAAAAACTGTGATTCTCAGCTAACAAAAACGAACATGTTACTAAAAAGAACTAAGTCCTATTGACTTCAGTGATTTACTCTCTATTAAATGTGGTTTTATTATTGCAGTCTTAAATAAAAAGGTAATGATTAGCACTACCCTCTTCCTTATTAAAATGAATGATAATTGCTTAGGAACACAGTGAAAATGTGCAGATTTCACAAGGATCAAAATGACCAAACTAATTTCCTTTGTAACAAACAAGCAAAATTTCTGTTTGAAGATTCCTTCCCCCTCACAACAGATGCTGATAGAATTTTCAGTAAGTAGTATCTAACCAAAGGGGTCTGTACAAACATCAAGGGTATCAAATATGCACATAATAAACTAAGGCTATTTTAAAAACCACTACAGTGGTACCTCAGGTTAAGAACAGGTACCACTGTACAGGAAAAGAACCACCATAGTTCATCGAATAATGAAATGCTTTCTCCCAACTAAAGTAATAGGACCAGATTATATTAACGATAGGTGCATTTTCAATCATAATAAATCATCCTAAGCAGGCAGCTGATTAACCCTGAAGACAGTAATTACAGACAACAGTTATCTCACTACACAATTTGCCAAAACAGAAGGGAGAAAACCACACAGCCCCCCAAAAGACCAATTTCAGTTAAAAGGGTAGTGCCCTTTATGATGGGGGGGAGGGAGAGGGTATAAAATAAATTCCTTAGTGGTAGATAAAAATTGAAATCAAACATACCTGTATCTCTTTTTTAACAGGTTTAGGCTTAGAATCCACTATTTTCTTTCGGAACTCAAGCAGCACTTCTCTACAGTCTTCTAAATGTTCTTCAGGTTCCCATGTATCATCATCTGGGGAATATCCTTTCCACCGTACTTTGTATAGTATTTTACCCTAAGAAAGCAAAGAGATTTAGTAAGCATATGACGTAGTAGTAGTAACAACAGCAACAACTTATTATTTATGCCCTGTCCATCTGACTGGGTTGTGCCAACTCAATATAAAAATACAACTAAACAACAAGCATGAAAAGCTTCCTGATACAAGGTTGCCTTCAGATGTCTTTGGAAAGTCATGTAATTGGTCATCTCTGACATCTGACGGGAGGGCATGCCGCAGGATGGGCTCCACTACCGAGAAGGCCCTCTGCCTGGTTCCCTGTAACTTCACTTCTCGCAGTGAGGGAACAGTCAGAAGGCCCTCAGAACTGGACCTGTGTCCGGGATGAACGATGGGGGTGGACATGTCCCTTCAGGTATACAGGGCCAAGACCATTTAGGGCTCAGCACCAACACTTATGGTCCCAGCAGCTGCTCCCAGTCACCCGTCTGGCAGCCACATTCTGGATTATTTGTCATTTCTGAGTCACCCTTAAAGGTAGCCCCATGTAAAGTGTATTGCAGCACTCCAAGTGGGAGATAATCAGAGCGTGTACCACTCTGGTGAGCCAGTGTGCAAGCAAGTAGGGTCTCAGCCGAGTGGGAGATAATCAGAGCATGTACCACTCTGATGAGCCAGTGTGCAAGCAAGTAGGGTCTCAGTGTTGGTTTCTGTGTGTTACCATTGTGCTCTTGGAGTCACAAGACTCTGTTTTGCATTCCAGAGATTCCAGGCTGTTGGAAGTCTCAAGGAAGACAGAAGACGGATGTGATGTTACTGGTTTCCTGTTCCTTTGTTTCAGTTGCTCTCTGCTTTCAGAGAAAGCATGTATATTTCTTTTCTGTCTGCGTAGTTTGGATTAAAAATCTTTGCAATGCAGCTCAAACTTCTCGTCCTTCCCTGTTGCTGGATACTATGTGTAATGAGGGAACATGCCTGGAGTCTTATCAGAGGCTCAGGTCGTTAATCATCGTCGGAGGTGATTCCGAAGGACTCAGACCGGAGGTTGAGCTTTTCCAGCTCGGTTGAACACAAGTCCGACACTCAGCAGATATTAATAATATAATGGGGCATAGCCAGGATTTATTTAGGGGGGCAGGCTTCATGCTGGGGGGGGGGCAAACAGAGTTATCTGTGATGCAATTGATCAGTTAAGTATTTTTTATTTACTTGATGGGGGGAGCTGCCTCCCACCCCTGGCTGCACCCATGAATGCACTGGCTCACTGACTGGATCTCCTCTGGTTCATAAATGGCTAAAGTTCTCTCTGTCTCTCATGTGTTTTGTGGGGGGTGGGGACAATGAATGTATCCATTCATTGATGAAATGTTGGGCGCTGAGTGTGTGCACACACCATGGATTTGAGGGGCAATATACAATTCTTCACAGGGTCTCAAACTGCAAGTAAAATTGCCACAATCCTCACCCACATACTTGCTGCCAAATCCTGCAGTGCCAATGTGGATAGAAACTCAAAAGTGTAAGCACCGTGTTCAAAAGTGGGTTGTTGTTTTTTTGAAGCAGGGCCTGACTACTTCTGGAAACACAACAAGACAATATTTGCATCCAATACAACATACTGCCACTAGCGGGGGGGGGGGCTCTCAGATCAGCTGTTTTGCATTGGCTGCAGAAAGAGGAAAATAGGTACGAGGTATTTAACAAGGATGCGATGAAGAAGTGTTGGAAAGGGGAAGATAAAGAGGTCCGCGCCGAAAAGAAGGAGGCGTTTTAATACGAATTGGGCAATTTTAAGGGCGGAAACTGAGCGCATCCTAACCCTCACAAAGTTGGTGCGCCTACTTCTCCCTGACGCTGTTTATGCTTTAAATGATTAAAAAAAAAAACCCCACATATATCAAATGCCCGCCCTTTCCGTGCCAGCTACACATCCCGGGGCAGTTTGTGTCCCAACTGTGCGCTAAAAATCAACAGGAACAGCCCGGCAGCTGCAAGGCAGAGCATCCTGCTGCAATGCAAAGGGAAAGCGCCCTGCCAAGACCTTCGCTGCCTTCTCAAGGCCCGACCCCCCTCCGGACTCACGTCTTCGGTTTTCACGTCGAGGATCTTCTCCACCTCATAGACGTCCTCATCATCTTCGTCGCTGTCGCCGCCTCCCCCCGCTGTAGTCCCCGCTCCTTCTCCTCCTGCAGCCGCCTTCTCCTTCCTCGCCGCCGCCTCCTCCTCCTCCTCAGCCCCACTCACGACGGCCGCCGCCATGTTGGAGCCGAACGTTCCAGCGGCGTCTGTGAGGAGAAGCTGCTGCGTTCGCCTCTCCCCCCTCCTCACGGCTAAAGGCAACTAAGCGGCCTAGCGGGCGGCGAGGGCAGCCCGCCAATCCGCAGTCGGCGCCATCCGCTGCAGCCAATCAGGGCAGCTTTCGGGAGAAGCGGCCAATGCGAGGCAGGTTCCGGAAAGCAGCCAGTCAGAGAAGGGGGCGGGATCCCTTCATTCGGTGTTCCGGTTCCATCCTGTGAGGAGGATGTGAGGGGGTTTCCATGGAAACTGATGGCTCTCTGAGGTGTCGGCGTGTCTGTTTGTCTGACTGGGACAGTTTTTGAACTTTTTTTTTTTAAGAACCCGTCTGCACAGGAGTGCCAACCTGAATAAAATATTGTGTGTGTTATCACTGTGGAAAATCTAATAAAAATTATTTTTTAAAAAATATGAATAAAATATTGTGGGGGCCCAACTAAGCCCGCCCCGCATAATCGATCGTATTATGCAGTGCAACACACACTATTTGAATGGGAATGCCCATCAACTTTGTGGGGGCCTGATCCCCTCAAATATTTTATTGTTGGGGGTCCATGGCACCTAGGAGTTGGCTCCTATGCATCTGCATGTAAAGTAAAGTCGATACAGCATGAGACTCTAAATCTTAGGGTCGTTGGTTCTAGACGCATGTCAGACAAAAAAGGTTCCTGCATTGCAGGGGTTGGATGACCCTCGGGGTCCCTCTACAATTCTATATATGAGGCTCTTGAATGAAACCGAACCCAGGTGGATGTCCCCCGAGGGAGCAGTGCTGTAGCAGAATGACATCTGGTGGGATGGAGGAATCAGTGTGGGAGAACTTAAGGTGGGAGTGAAGTTGAGAAAAAGGAACTTCCAGAGAAACAGGGCGAAGCCAGTGTTTGTTAAAACAATCTTATTGCCTTATATGGCATTTATATTTGCTTTTGCTCTGGTTTAGTATTAGGCTCCCCCACCCCCCCAACCTTCATGGTACTAAATATGTGTTTGTGGAGAAGTAGTACAGTGGTACCTCGCAAGACGAATGCCTCGCAAGACGAAAAACTTGCAAGACGAAAGGGTTTTTGGTTTTTTGAGTTGCTTTGCAAGACGAATTTCCCTATGGGCTTGCTTTGCAAGGCGAAAACGTCTTGCAAGTTTGTTTTCTTTATATTCCTTTAATACCCAGGTTGCATTGCTTGAAGAGGTGCAGTTGCACGCGGTGTGGTAGCCTTTTTTGAGGTTTTTGAAGACTGTGGTGATTTTTAAGCTTTTCCAAAACTTCTTTTGAAACCGTGCTTCGCAAGACGAAAAATTCGCAAGACGAAAAAACTCGCAGAACGAATTAATTTCGTCTTGCGAGGCACCACTGTACTTATAATTGGGACCAGTAGGGGAGGCTTCTAATACAATCAAACATGGCATCCACTATGAATTAGAAGCAGCAAGGAAAGGAGTCTGGTTCAAATGAAGTTTATCACCGATATTTCTTCATATATTCATATTCATATATTTCCTAAAGAATGATGCAAACCTGACCACCAAACCATGTTAATTTGCAGCTAAGTGTTGAATCTAATGATGCCCATCCACAAACATCCTCTTCCTCCTGCATATTTATTTAATCTTTTATTCTTACACAAGAAGGTCTTGCATCTCTTTGTTGGATGTACTGCATTTTGCACAATTAACCTATAGAGAAAGTGTCTATACTTTGTAGGGTCTTATTTATGGCTAACACACATGACCTTTTCTGAAGTGTGGGAATATAGGAACCTATGCACTGGACCATTTTCCTTTTCCCCATTCCAGCATTGCTTTTCCTAGCTGAATCTTCACAAAAACAAAGTAGCAAATAAATTCCCATGATTTGCAGGTAGAAAAGAAGGCTGGATAGTTACTGAGCAGCTTAGCGCAGTTTATTTTCATCAGGTGCAATTATATTTGAAAAATTATCAGAATGGTTGTTTACACAGAAAAATATTTGTGCTGAGTAGATGTATTGATTTAGTTCAGAAAATAACTGTTGGGCTAATGTGTCTATAATGATTACTTATTAATTTTTAAAGAGACAGTGTTTACAAATCCAAACTAAATGCAAACTATCCCAATACATTCTTTCATCCACTCTGATAGCACTTTCTTTATCAGCTTATGGCTGGAGGAACCTTTTTCTGCTTTATACTTAGCTACTATGTGGCATTCATTCTTTCGCCAGCATTAACTACCAGAGGCAATAAGATTCGGGAACATTTTCATTGAATCTGTTACACTGATGGAAACCTGTTAAAAAAAATAAATACTACGCAGTCAATCTCCAAACAGTTTCCATTCCCACAAACTTGTTTAAGCTTCTGCCCCACCATTTTGCTTGTCAATCTTTATATTTCACTTCCCCATAACTACCAGGTTCATCAGCTAAACTTTTGACATGAATAGTACTGAACCTCCTGGTCAGAATATCTCCTAAAACAGAAAACAACCATTTTATAAAACAAAATGAACCCCAACCCAAAATGAACACTGAGAAAACAGGTCATAATATTTACTGCATACTATTTTTTTGGTGTTTTATATTCTTGGTTACAATCTGGAGTATCAAAGTTCCATGATCAAATACATAGATAGAAAACCAAAATCTTAATCAGATAAAATCAACATATTATGATTAGAGACAAGCAAATAGATGATGGTGCCATTTTTCTGCTAGTCTGACTAGATATGAGGTGGGGAAACAACAGTGATGCCGATCCCAATCTCTTCAATATGCAGCAGCTTCTTCGTGGCAAAATCCCAGTCTTTCCCCAGATCAAGACGCTGGCAAATTGCTGGAAATTCTCGTTCAGTTCTCCTTGCCCACTCAACTGCTTTCTTTACAGGTTCAAATGCCCTGTGAACAGCGGAGAAAGGAATGAATGAAATGATTGTGTCGAAATGAAACAGCAGCTTGACCATAGCGTCAAGAGGGAAAAGACTTGTTCTGCTGTCCATAGAGGACAGGACTCTATCTCATGGGCCCTGTGACTACAATTGCATAGATTCTGGCTCCACATTAGGAAAAATCAATTAACAGACCAGTCTGAAAATAGAACCAATTGCCTAGTTGGCAGGTTTTCCTTGGTAGAGGCTTTCAATTAGAGCTCTGGATGCTCTACATCAAGGAGGGGTTTTCACATCAACTAGATGGCCTAGAAGACTCCCACCAACTTTACCGATTCTTCCTTCATTAAAACAAAGAGGGCATCTGAAATCAACATTGTACAGATTTGTACGCATGAAGGGCCATGGGCTCGGTGGTAGCAAAGCACATGCCTTGCATGCAAAAGATCCCAGGTTCGATGCCTCACATCTCCAAATACAGCTGGAAAAGATTTCTGACAAACTCTGAAAAGCTCCTTATCAACCAGCTTAGAAAATACTGAGCTAGATGGACCAATGATCTGATCTGTGTAAGGCAGCTACTGACATTCCTAAGCCTCTTTTATTCCAGTGAAACAAAAGAAAAAAGAATCCTTCCAGTAGCACCTTAGAGACCAACTAAGTTTGTTATTGGTATGGGCTTTCGTGTGCACGCACACTTCTTCAGATACGCACTACGCACGAAAGCTCATACCAATAACAAACTTAGTTGGTCTCTAAGGTGCTACTGGAAGGAACTTTTTTCTTTTGTTTCAACTACGGCTACCTACCTGTAACTTATTCCAGTGAGATTTATGTGGATGTTTCCAATGGATTGCGAGTACCCTTACATATCTATACCACAAACTAATTACAACAAACTGTAATTCAGGAAAACCTAAGAAAAAAACTTGCTACAGTCCCCCAATGATACAGGGAATGGGTATCTGTTGGGGGTTGGTGTCATTTGTTCTCAGAAAGCAAGAACATTCTGTGTGGCTGTTATCTGTGAGAAGCTAGTTTCCGGATGCTGCTAGCTTGGACAGCTACAAGGTCAAAGAAGGAGGTAATCTGGGCATGTGCAGCTTCTGGGTAGTGACGGTGAGAACTCTTTTAAGGAGCCTGATCTGAGCCATCAAACTGGCTGGATGTAATGAGACCTCTGCCTGGAGAGGTAGAAGCAATGAACTCTTTGTAAAAGTGTTTGTAACGTTCATGCTTTTTATGATTGCCAGCAAAACTACTTTTCTGTCTGAAGCTGGAAATCTGTGATTTATTTGCATCTTCTCTCTCTGAGCTCAGCCTGGGTATCCTTCACACTGGAAAGCTACGTTTCTCTGCTAATTGGGCCAGCTATGTGGGAAGTGCCGCTGGTCCCATTTTGAAGTTTTTACAATGGTGTCAACCCAGGTAGAAGGTTTATCTCTAAAGTTAGCATTTGAAATGGATTTAGTTACAGACTGGGTGGTTAGAACCTCTTGATGAACTTAGGTAAAGGTAAAGGGGCCCCTGACCATTAGGTCCAGTCATGGCTGACTCTGGGGTTGTGGTGCTCATCTCGCTTTATTGGCCGAGGGAGCTGGTGTACAGCTTCCGGATCATGTGGCCAGCATGACTAAGCTGCTTCTGGCGAACCAAAGCAGTGCACGGAAACGCCGTTTACCTTCCCGCCCGAGCGGTACCTATTTATCTACTTGCACTTTGACGTGCTAGGTTGGCAACAGCAGGGACCGAGCAACGGGAGCTCACCCTGTCCTGGGGATTCGAACCACCGACCTTCTGATCGGCAAGTCCTAGGCTCTGTGGTTTAATCCACAGCGCCACCCGCGTCCCCTTGATTAACTTAGCCTTCTCCTAATGTTGGACATGGTCAGTCCTCTTTTCCAAAGCCTGAAGTTTCATATTAAACAAGTTATTATTATTTGAAATTCAAGTTACTGTTTAAGCTGCACTCAGATGTCACCCACTTGGAGTCTCATATCCTGAAACATCCCCCTGAATATGTGTTTTACAACCAGAGGAGGGCAAATGGCAAATGGAGCACCAACCTGCCTGCCCTCAGCCATTCGCCATCTTTCCTGCTTTACTTAAAGGCAGTCAGAGATGGCTCTACCTATCAATGGTTTCTGGTCTCCCTGACTTCCACCTACAAGTCTCAATGGTCCCCAGCCCCCCGTGTTTACAACCTCAGTTTGCTTTGACTCAAGGAAGTCCTAGTACTACGGATTAATGCTTACAACTGATTTAAACGCTTTAGCTTTTAGAGAAGAGTTGCCTGAAATGTTAAGTCCGCTTACAAAACGTACCACGATGGGGGAGAGTCATTCAGTGTTGTTAAAGATCTGAAGACGAGGCCTTCCAGTTGCTTGAAACGTATAACCTGTAGCACCAGAAGTGTAGCAATCAACCGCAACAGCTTCTCTTTTCCTTTGGGGCCTGGATGAATAGTAACAAGCAGTAGCATTTAACTGTCTATGTTTCATATTGAAGAATTAATTCTTAAAAGTACTCCTAACTAAAGTGTTAGTGCTGTTGTCAAGCAGACTGGTGGTACCCTGAATATCTAAAACTTGAGTATCAAAGATTTCCCCCCTAAGAGTGCATGGATTCCCTCTGCCAGTTTGCATTTCTTAGTACAGAAAGTATTGATCTGATGTGCAGAGATATTTCCTATTCTAATTAATTCAAGAGGGTTCTGGAAGCTTCTCTGGTTGAAAGAAACAAGCAGAAAATTCATGATATTTGGGTTATTCCTTCAGAGCAGCTGAGTACAGCTGTCTTAAACTGGTTTCTGTTATCTCTTTCAGTCAAGGTCGTGCTGACTATAATAATAAGGCCAGAAGGAGCCTGGGTTTCTCTTTCTATCTCTCTTCCTTCTGGTGTGGCGTTCTGTACATAATATGCTTAGTGTGGAGGTTTAGTCTTATTATAAGTCATTGTAAGTTTAAGTTAAGTCTGCTGCAACTGGATTTCTTATGGACAGTGCCAATCCTAATCCTGAATGTATTGGATTTGTCACCATTATGCTCATTTGCCTTCAGTAGCAGTAAAGCTCTGCTGGATGAAATATAATTGCCTCTGGTCAATTTTTGGGGAATCCCGCAACATGTTTAAGTTTTTACTCCGCTAACTATACATTGGGAGTTCTGCTCTGGATCATATTGAGTAGAATTCCATGACACCCTCGCTCCCAAATCCATTCCATTGAGCTTTTATTACAACTGTAAATAGTATTTCTGAAAACCAGAATGTCTAATTATATATAAAAAAATTGATTCCCACTGGATCATTTACTGTTGTTGAGTGGCAGGCCCACAGTTTGCTCATCTTGCCCTGCTGCAGAAGTGGAAAGAAGTCTGTATACAGCCATAAAGCAAACAACAGCAATAACCTTTTTCTTTTTTGTTCATGATAACTTTTGTAGGACAGTTGTTGCCAGCATGCCACAAAAACCACTCTGGGTATCTGTATATGAACTTTATAAATACTATGCCTAGGTTCCACTAAAATCAATAGGATTTAAGTTAGTCATTACCAACTTTTCACAATGCTTCCAGTGGGAATAAGCATATCAGAAGTTCAAGTACACTGTATAAAGGAAGTAAAATGGGATTTACCAAGTGAATTAATTCCCTTTTTTGCAAGTGAAACGTTGACAAAATAATCCACATCGAAATCCAGAAGAGTCCCAAGCTCAGGGATCAGCTGCCAAAAACCATCCTGGAAAACACATTCATAGAAAATAAAACGGGGGAAGAGGAGAATTGTTGTGTGAAAGCTATTCTTTTCTTTTTTTAAAGGAAAATAAACACATGTAATGAATGGCTCTATAAAAAAAGAAAGCAGGCAGCCTCTTCAACACAGGTGAGGCACAAATGGGCAAAAAAGGTAAGGTTTCTCATGTAACAGAAGTGGAAAATTTGTCTTCTGGATAGGGCTGCATTTCCCTGGGGGTAATCTGTTTAAGGCTGCACGCCAAGAGTGGGCAGGGCCAGAACCAGAGATGGGGTGAGATGCCCCTTTTCTGAGGAAATTACAAAGCTATGACAAATTGAAGGATAAAGTACAAAACTGGCTCCAATACTACCAAGTAATGGAGCTTTTCAAACAGGACAGGAAAATTGGCTTTCAGGTGGAAAAATCAAAACTAGAGATTGAACTGTTAGAACCCAACACTAAGAATTTGTCGAGAATGTATAACTTGTTGTTGAAATGGAATACACAGGATGAAACGGTGAAATCAGCCATGATCAAATGGGCTCAAGATATTGGTCATGATATTATGTTTGCTGACTGGGAACAGTTATGGACCACCGGTGTTAAGTTTACGGCATGTAATGCCTTAAGAGAAAACATAATGAAAATGATCTACAGGTGGTACATGACCCCAGTCAAGCTGGCAAAAATTTATCATCTGCCCGATAATAAATGTTGGAAGTGTAAAGAGACTGAAGGTACCTTCTACCACCTTTGGTGGACATGCCCGAAGATTAAGGCCTTCTGGGAAATGATCTATAATGAAATCAAAAAGGTACTTAAATGTACCTTCTCTAAAAAACCAGAGGCCTTTCTCTTGGGCATTGTCGGCCAAGTGGTGACAAAGAGGGATAGAACTTTCTTTATGTACGCTACAACAGCAGCAAGAATACTTATCGCAAAGTATTGGAAGACTCAAGATCTACCCACTCTGGAAGAATGGCAGATGAAAGTGATGGACTATATGACACTGGCCGAGATGACAGGCAGAATCCGTGACCAACGAAAAGAGACGGTGGAAGAAGAATGGAGAAAATTTAAAAGTTATCTTAAGGACTACTATAAACTTAATGAATGCTAAAATGTTGTGGTTTCCAGAAACAAAGGGATACAGGGATATAAGGTTAGAGATATAAAAGAGAACTAAGATGACAGAGATTGGAAAGTAACAATTGGGAGTTGTTAGTTGAACTATGGACATTGGGATGCAGAGAGGGGGGGTATGGGGAAGTCAAAGGAAAGAGGTTTATGAAAATATGTTTGAAACTATACGTGTATGTTTGTCATTTTTGGTGTTTGTTTGTTTTTCTTAAAAAGTTTCTAAAACCAATAAAAATTTTATAAAAAAAAAAAAAAAGAGATGCCCCTTTTCTGTTTTTGCTTTCTCCCTGTTTTTGCCTTTCTTTCCATCTGCATGAAATTAGGCCAAATATTGTGTGCAGCCCTCAGGGTTTAGGTTGCCCACCTCAGTCATTAACATACGAAGAGACCCAAAGTTTCCTCCCTGGTTATACTTTGTGTTTTCTGTGAGATCTTACTCTGAATTTCTTTCTGTTATTCTATGCTATGTTTCATTTTCATTTTAATGTCTAATTTGCTTGATGCCCGAAGAACCTGTGTATTGAGGCATCTAGGATATGCAAATACATAAATAAAATTCTGCTTCATTTAGGAATTTCTATACCACCCCATCAATGGTATCCTCTCTGGGCAGCTCACAAATGTAAATCAATAAAATATAAAGATAATCATAAAGCTGCAACAACAAACTCTATTTGTCAAAATGTCCCTTCCCCACAGTATCAGAGGGATAGGCCCGCTGTTTCTGCAAAATAATGGTAGAGTCATGGGCATAACCAGGATTTTTTTTTGGGGGGCAGGACTTTTGTTAGGGGCAGAACCGACGTGATTGGTCAGTTAGTTAAGTACTTCTATTGTTTTACTTTATCGGGGGGGGGGGGACTGCCTCCTTTGCTCCTCCTGGGTACACCCAAGGGTAAGCTCCATTTGTCTGTCCCCCCCCCTTCTTTTTCTTGCAACAGCTAGAGGAAAAAAAGAAGGTGCATACCTGATTCTGGAGTTTAAAGAGTTGAGGCCAGGATACAACCCTTAGTGGCTTCTGTGCAGGAAATGATTGACCCTTTTTCATTTTGTGCATCTCCAGGAGAGTATCCTTTAAAGGGAGAGACAGACAACAGTGTAGAGTGAAAAATATCCCCCAGAGCTAGTCCTCAAGGGATGTGAAGAATCACAGCCTAACCCAGCACATCTAAAAGCCCTGCTCTCTAAGGGTAGGTGCTCCATCAAAAATAGTAGTATAGGCTAGAGAAGCAATAAGAACAGATAAGCATATATACTGTGTGTACACACACACACACACACACACACACACACACACACACACACACAAAATCACCCAACCTTCACCAGAATGTCCCAGGGTGGATTACAATTAACATACAGTTTTAAAAATAGTTAAAGACATCTTACCCCCTGCAAGCTATAGTGCATCTTGTGAGAAGCCTCAGAGGTTACCTTTGAGCGCTGCATTTCTGGCACTCTGCGAAGAGGGCTGACCGACTCCTGTGCACTTCCTTGCGCAAATGCTTTTCCATGTCCTAGAGAAAGCTTAAGAGGAGCAAACGCTCTTTTAGGTGGAAGCGCTGGAAGTGGAAATGGATCCTTCTGTTGAAGCATATCAAATTTCCTCAAGCTAAAGGCTTGGGGGATTGCCTGTGAATCAAACGAACCAGTTGCAGGTGATCCAAAAATAGAACCAAACGGACCAGTTGCAGGTGATCCCGAAGCAAACATGTTGAGGCTGCCTCTAGGCAGAGGTGGTGGTGGAGCAGCAGCAGCGGTGCTTATCGGAGCTTGGGGAATTGCCTGTGAACCCAAACTGGGACTGGAAGTAGAACCAAACAGACCAGCTGCAGATGACCCAAAAGCCAACGTGTTGGGGATGCCTCCAGGTAGAGGCGGCAGTGGTGAAGCAGTGCCTATCGGAGCTTGGGGGACTGCCTGTGAACCAAACTGAACAGCTGCAGGTAATCCAAAAGTAGGTGATCCAAAAGCAGAACCATACAGACCAGTTGCAGGTGATCCAAACTTGTGGATGTTCCCATATAGAGGAATAGGAGGCGGTGGAGGAAGGGCGCTTATCGGAGCACTATTTTGGATTCCAAAACCGAAGCCTAAGGAGCTACCTTCAAGCTTGCTGCCAGCAACAGGAGGAGAAGGCACCTATGGAGTAAAAGTTGTTATTTTAGACTCAAATTTGGTTCACACACATTCTGATTTTCCTACATTAACTACCACAGCCTTGAAAAATCTGCTTCTGAAACTCTTCACACAAACTCTTGTAATGTTAAGGTATGCCTCCCACCAAGTTGTACAACTCATTAAAAAAAATCCCCGGAATGTCTGCCTTGGGAGAACTTCCTCAAAGGACCTTTTTGGATTATTGAGAGATTGCTGTCTAATGGGATTGCATGGCAGCAGGGGTGTCTAACCAGTGGCTACGAGATACCAGTAGACTCCCACCACCCAGCATGGTAAACAGTCAAAAATGATGGGACTTGTAGCACAGCAACATCTGGAGGGCCATGCACAAGCCACCCTTGCCTTGGAGTATTCCCCGATCATAACTTGGGATTTAACAGAAGAATGTTTCCTAGTGGTTCAGCAGTTTCTTAATCCTTCTTGAACATTTGGGGTGGGAAAAGCAAGCAATGCTTGGAAAAGGGGGCTCACCCAACAGGTGTGTGTGTGTGTGTGTGTGTGTGTGTGTGTGTTTATGCATAACGGAAAGTTTTGCAAGGGGAAGAAGCAGAGTTAGCTGTGATCTGAAGGCAATTGGTGGTATCTCTCTCTGGGGACTGGATGCGAAGGGGTAGATCAGCTGCACGGCAGGACAGCATATACCAGTTGCCTCCACTTGTGTGCTCCACTTCTATATTTGTAAACAATCCAAATATTACAAAAATGCTGTAGGTATCCAAATAGCACGGCTGCCCCTGGAATTTCTCGCTGCTTGGGGAAGCGGTGTGCATTCCACATATGATCAGACTAGGACAGGGGTCAGCAACCTGCGGCCCCGGAGCCGCATGTGGCTCTTTTACACCTTTGCCGCGGCTCCGGGGCGGATACTAGCAAGGGGAGGAGGCGCATTGTGCGCCCCGACACTCCCCACTGTGGCGGGCACTGTACTGGCTGTGACATCGCATGGGGCGGTGCGTGCTTTAGTCACGCACCGTCCCGACGTCACCTTCCCACCCGCTGTCAGATCGCGGCTCCGGAGATATATTTGTTTTAAATGTCGCAATGGTTTTGCGGCTCCCAGTTTTTTGTTCTTCGGAAACGGGTCCAAGTGGCTCTTTCTGTCTTAAAGGTTGCAGACCCCTGGGACTAGGAGGCTTTCAGAATTACCTGCAAATCCGAACTGGGATTGGGACGAGATATGTCAGCTAATGGCAATGCAGCTGCCGAATTGTGAGGGGAGAGAAATCAGGAGGCTCTGTTTGTTAAGTTTACTAGAGAAGAAATCTCATCTGCTAATTCAGACATGATGTCAGGTATGGAAGTATCACTCAACTATGAAGAAAAATCAATTCATTTAGACTCAAATATGGTTCACACACGTTATAAGGGATGTGGGTGGCGCTCTGGTCTAAACCACTGAGCCTCTTGGGCTTGCCGATCAGAAGGTTGGCGGTTTGAATCTGCAAAACGGGGTGAGCTCCTGTTGCTCTGTCCCAGCTCCTGCCTACCTAGCAGTTCGAAAGCGCGCGAGTGAGCATAGATAAATGCAGCGGGGAGGTAAACAGTGTTTCCGTGAGCTCTGGCTTCCGTCATGGCACTCCATTCTGCCAGAAGCAGTTCAGTCATGCTGGCCACATGACCCAGAAAGCTGTCTGTGGACAAACGCTGACTCTCTCAACCTGAAAGCGAGATTAGCGCCGCAACCCCATAGTCGCCTTTGACTAGATTTAACTGTCCAGCGGTCCTTTAGCTTTAACTAATGACACATGTTATGTTTTCGCTAAATTATCATTCAAAACCCTTGAAATTCTGTTTTTGAATCCCCAGTGTTTAGATGTGCCTCCCACTGAGTAATACAAGTGGTCAAAAAGATCCTCAGAATTTCTGTCTGAAGAGAATTTCCTTAGAGGAATTTTAGAAACGCACACCAAATAATGTTAATATTTCTTGGAAGTTCAGCACAGCCGGTGGATGTGTCTTTTCTGAGAGCGCATTGTGAGGAAACAGTTTCTTGATCACCTTGGAATGTTTGAGATGGAGAAGCTATGAGTGCCCAGAAACAACTGTGTGTGTGTGTGTGTGTGTGTGTGTGTGCGCGCGCGCGCGCATAAAAGAAAAAAGGAAGCAGTTTTTGGTCTCTTTCTCTGGGGACTGGATGTGAAGGAGTGGATCGGCTGTGTGGCAGGCATACACATGCTGGCTGCCTCTGCTTTGGCTCTACTATATGTGTAAACAAACCAAGTATTACAAAAGTATTCTAAGTGCCCAGTGCGCTCTTCCTCCAAAAAAAGACACCTGTGTGAAGTAGTACTGACCCAGGGGAAGCGGTATGCTCTTAGCATATGCCCCGGCTAGGCAGCTTTGGGGATTACCTTCAAGTCAGAACTGAGAAGACAACTGCTCGTGTCACCTGCCGGCGTGCCACCTGTAAATTCCTCCTGCAGTGACATACTCAAATTCTCTGCCTCAGTAAGTGGAACTGCCTTCTTAGGTTGCTTCTTAAGAAATGACATCCGCAGTGGAGGAGCAGCTGACATATCTCTGCTCTCATCTTGAAATGCTTCAGGCACGTGGTCAGCCGTGGAAACCACAGACTTCTGCGGAGTAAAATTTATTCTTTTAGTCTCACAGCTGGGAAAACACACATTGTTTTTATATATCATTATTCACAATGCTTATATAATCCCCCCCCCATTCTACGTTATGATGTATTCATGCATATGTTCTTCAATGTAAATTACTTGCTGTTTGGTGACAAGCAACTAATAGGTTTAACAACAACAACAGTAATCTATGATCTGTCGGAAAGAAACCTCCTTAAGAGGATTTATTCTGGAAATAACGTATTTTTCGCTCTATAGGAGGCACTTTCCCCCCTCCAAAAATGAAGGGGAAATGTGTGTGCATCATATGGAGCGAATGCAGGCTTTCGCTGAAGCCTGGAGAGCAAGAGGGGTCGGTGCGCACCGACCCCTCTCGCTCTCCAGGCTTCAGGAAGCTATCCACAAGTCTTCGGAGCGCGGCGGGAGTGCCCGCCGCGCTCTGAAGGCTTGCGGATAGCAGCCTGCAGCCCGAAGCCCGGGGAGCACTGCGCAGCGCGTCCCAGGCTTTGGGCAGATATCCGCAAGCCTTGGGAGCCCGGCGGGAGTTCCCACCAGGCTCCAAAGGCTTGTGGATAGCAGCCTGCATCCCGAAGCCCAGGGAGCGCTGTGCAGCGTGCCCCGGGCTTTGGGCAGATCCCGCTCGCTGTCTTGGCTTCTTTGCTCTTTTGGGCTGGGGGGGGGGAAATAATTTTATTTTCTTTATTTCCCCCCCCCAAAAAAAAAACTAGGTGCGCCCTATGGTCCAGTGCGCCCTATAGAGCGAAAAATACGGTATAAACTATAGGCATCAAGCATTAAAAATCATTTTTACTTAAAGGGAAAAAACTATACTAGATCTGTAGTCAACCTAAACTGTAAATAATATAATCTGGGACTAGGCACTGAGTACTTTTATTGCTTTAATGCTAGTGCCACAGGAAGTTACTGATTCGTTAATTGATCCCATTCAGCAAAGTTACTTCTAAGTAAACACGAATGGATCATGACAATGGAGGAAGGCATTGTCGGATAATAAAGCTCTATACCAGAGCTTCCCAAACTTGGATCTCCAGCTGTTTTGGGACTACAACTCTCATCATCCCTAGCTAGCAAGACTCAGTGGTCAGGGATGATGGGAACTGTAGTCTAAAAACAGCTGGAGACCTGAGTTTGAGAAACTCTGCTCTATACTGTGCTGTGTAGAGCTACCATTTTAATTCAAGCTGGCTTAGTGAAAACCTTAGTTCTGGGCTAGCATGGATAAAATCTGTGTCCCGTCCCCCCCCGAAATAACTACATCCTCACATGTATTTGTCTCCGCTGATACAGATAGGCTTCTTAGGAAACAGAGGCAGCTCCTATGTTCCAAATAGTTGTGTGTGCAACGTATAATTAACTGAAGCTTGCGAGTGTTTTCATGACACAGGTTTAACTGAAAAGTTTCATCTTGGAAAAAATGCTTTCTAGAAGTGAATCAATGAGGCCTTTGAGTTATGTTAGATTAGTTCTTGATCTTGTCTAATGAACACCAAGATTGTATCAATTATTACACTTATTAAAAGGGATTTTAATACTAAGTTCAATGGGACTCAAAGGTCAGAATGTATAAGACTCCATCCTTAATCTTGTGCAATGAATTTTAAAAAATCACTAAGTGTGCAACTGCTCTAATTAAAATGGCTGACCCATAAACTGCTTATGTTTTTTCTTGTATTTTTTGCACCAATGTACCTCAAGTTCCCTTACCATTTTTCTGCGTTTCTTTTTCGTTTTCTCCACAAATTCTATTTCTTCCTTATCAATAGTCAATTCTTCATAAACTCCAAAATCTTCTGCTAAACGAAAGTCAAGCATCGCCTATAAATGGGTGGGGAAAGGTGGGGGGGGGGTAGAATAGAAGAAACCATAATTAGTAATGATTATTCTACTAATAATAATAAAACATGTCAGGAGTATAGTTGGTATCAAGACTGTGATACATGGAGAAGGTTTTTTTTAAAAAAAAACTTTAAAAAAAACTCCCCCCATGCCATATCCTTGACAAAAAAAATGCCCTCAAATGTCAGTACAGTGGTACCTCGGGTTAAGTACTTAATTCGTTCTGGAGGTCCGTTCTTAACCTGAAACTGTTCTTAACCTGAAGCACCACTTTAGCTAATGGGGCCTCCTGCTGCTGCTGCGCCGCCGGAGCACGATTTCTGTTCTCATCCTGAAGCAAAGTTCTTAACCTGAAGCATTATTACTGGGTTAGCGGAGTCTGTAACCTGAAGCGTATGTAACCTGAGGTACCACTGTACCACTGTACAGCGGTACCTTGGTTCTCGAGCATAATCTGTTCCAGGAGTCCATTTGACTCCTGAAACAGTTCGAAAACCAAGGCATGACTTCCAATTGGCTGCAGGAGTTTCCTGCAGTCAAGCAGAAGCCACTTCGGACATTAGGCTTCCGAAAAATGTTTGCAATCCAGAACACTTACTGCCAGGTTTGCGGCGTTCGGGAGCCAAGCCATTTGACAACCAAGGTACCACTGTAAAAGTTTTCCTCCCTGAGCAAACAGCAACTTCTTGGGAGTGGGGCACAATTTCTCCCACAGTGTGTCCCCTTCCCCACCTTTGAAAAGAGTTGTGGAGGATGAAGAGCTCTTAGAATTTGAAATGCAGAACGGTATCTTCAACCCAGCCAATGTAGTGCAACCTATATATTTTGGATCACAACTTTCATCATCCCTGATCACTGGCCATGCTGTCTGGGGCGGATGGGAGTTGAGAGTTCAAAACATCTGGAGGGCACCACATTGGCTAACACTGTTTTAATTTCATTAAATTACATTCCAATGTCTGAGTGTTCAAGACATTTGCAAATGAAGATCAACAAACGCAGAACAGGCAAATTAAGCGGAATACTTCAGTTTGCTAAGTTAGTAAGAGGCAACTGACCCATCAGATGCACCTTCCCCACTGAAGTATAGCTCTTGTTTTCGTCTAATGAAATGTCAAGGTTGTATCTAAGTATAATTACACTTATTAATACAGATTTTAATACTGTAAAGGTAAAGGTAAAGGTACCCCTGCCCGTACGGGCCAGTCGTGTCTGACTCTAGGGTTGTGCGCCCATCTCACTTAAGAGGCCGGGGGCCAGCGCTGTCCGGAGACACTTCCGGATCACGTGGCCAGCGTGACGAAGCTGCTCTGGCGAGCCAGCACCAGCGCAGCACACAGAAACGCCATTTACCTTCCCGCTATAAAGCGGTACCTATTTATCTACTTGCACTTAGGGGTGCTTTCGAACTGCTAGGTGGGCAGGAGCTGGGACCGAAAGACGGGAGCTCACCCCGCTGCGGGGATTCGAACCGCCGACCATGCGATCAGCAAGTCCTAGGCACTGATGTTTTACCCACAGCGCCACCCGGTCCCATATTTTAATACTGAGTTGAATGCAATTCACAGGTCAGGACATGTAAGAGTCCAAACTTAACCTCATACAATTAAGCAAAGACAACAACCTTAATTAAAATGGCTGGCCAACATACAGTGCGGTTTCAAGTATTTTATCTTTTTGTCAACATACTTCACAGTCTATTACCTCCTCCTCAAGGCCTATTCCCTCCTCCTCAACGATGGAGGCTCTTGATGACTGGAACAAACACACATACACACACATATATAGAGGTGGTGGGAATGAGATAAAATAGGGAAGAAAGCAAAATTAGTAATAATGAAAAGTGCATTTTACCATGCCAAGGACCACAGACCACTTCATGAGATGCATAAAGTGGAATGCATGAAGGGAGAAGAGGACCAGAAAGTGTTGGATACATACAAAACTTAGGGACTCGCAAGGAGCCGTCTGTCCTTTTGACTGATATTCCATGTAGGGTAAGATGTCTACATCCTTCTTGGCTACAAGTTCCAAAACATCCAGAGTATCAGCAGTCTGGTCTTCATTTGTATCCTGAATATGGGAGTGGGGGGGGGGGATGAATAAAAAGCACCGCAAAAATAAGTATTAAAAAGCAAGGTTATAAATTACGTAAAATAATGTGCATGCTTCAAGATACAAAAATGAACACTGGAATTAATCTGAACTGGGATGGGGAAGTCCGAAGAAAAACATAGAAGCTTTAAGCCAGAGGCGGGGAACCTGTATACCTGAAGGAGCGTCTCCACCCCCATCGTTCAGCCTGGACATTGAGGTCCAGCACTGAGGGCCTTCTGGTGGTTCCCCCACTGCAAGTAGTGAGGTTACAGGGAACCAGGCAGAGGGCCTTCTTGGTAGCGGCACCTGCCCTGTGGAATGCCCTCTCACCAGATGTCAAGGAAATAAACAACTATCTGACTTTTAGAAGACATCTGAAGGCAGCCCTGTTTAGGGAAGTTTTAAGTGTTTGATTCTATTTTAAATATTCTGTTGGGGGCTGTCCAGAGTGGCTAGAGAAACCCAGCCATAAATACGCTGTTGTTGTTGTTGAACTACCATACCTAACCATTGGCTATGCTGGATGAGCCTGGTGGAAGTTGGAGTCTAACAACATCTAGAGGGCCGCAGGTTAGCCACCCCTGCTTTAAGCAGATTCAGCATGTTCTCCATTATGTGCTGCTCTGCTTGGCTGTAGGAAGCCCCCTCATGCAATGTTTTCCCCAGTTTGCATTGGTCCATGCGTAACCCAGAGTGGAGCTCCTTTCAGGGGAAGGATGCCTCCTCACCCCACAGATGATGCAACATGCAAGTTTGGTGTTTCACATTCAGGCACAAATGATGTGAGCAGTCCCTCTGTGCAATGAGATGGAGCAGCCAGTTTATTATGTTACATCATCATCATCATTTATTTATACCCTGCCCATCTGGCTGGGTTTTCCCAGCCACTCTGGGCGGTTCCCAACAGAATACTACAAACATGATAAAGCATCAAATATTAAAAACTTCCCTAAACAGGGCTGCCTTCAGGGCTGCCCACCACATCAGTGGTGGGGAACAGCAAGCATGGCCAATGGGAAGGGATGATGGGAGTTGTAGTTTAACAATATCTGGAGGGCCAAAGGTTTCCCACACCTGTGTTACATCACCTGGCCTGCCCCAATTTTGCAATGCGTCCAAGCCATGAGATAAACAGTTACACTACTTTGAACAATTGTTCAATGGCGAAATAATCATCTCAGTCAACAAGTAAAACTGGGTAACCAAGTACACTCCCCTGCTTGTTCTCCAAAATGGAGACCAGTTGAAAATGCAATGCATTTTACAGCTGTTCTGAGGAAAACAATGCCAAGGAAAAGAGGGAAAGAGGGGTAAGCAGAGAAGCAGGAGGAAGAATAGAACAAAGATAAAGCTGTTTTGAAAAAAAGGGAAGAAAACAAGTGAAGGTGAAAAACAAGTGAAATAGCATCTTTTGATTCCAGGGAGAAAAATAGTATTTAGACTAGACACGAAGGTTTTCAAGAGATGAGATGAAAGAAAAGTACTGATTCTGGGGAATGAATGAAGGGGATCTGGGTGGAGTCCCCTGAGCAGGAGTATAAAAGGATTCATGGATTACATGACCCAAGTGGTAAAAGGATACAACCCATCTTTGGGTGCATCTTCTTCCCAGCACCTTCTATACTTCTGGTGCTCGGTAATAATAAATTCAGTTATTAATATTAGGTCAATAAGAGAACTTGCCGATCAGAAGGTCGGTGATTCAAATCCCCGTGACGGGGTGAGCTCCTGTTGCTCAGTCCCAGTTCCTGCCAACCTACCAGTTCGAAAGCATGCCAGTGCAAGTAGATAAATAGGGACCGCTCTGGCGGGAAGGTAAACGGCATTTCCGTGCGCTGCTCTGGTTTGCCAGAAGCGGCTTAGTCATGCTGGCCACATGACCTGGAAGCTGTACGCCGGCTCCCTCGGCCAATGAAGCGAGATGAGCGCCGCAACCCCAGAGTCGTCCGCGACTGGACCTAATGGTCAGGGATCCCTTTACCTTTACCTTTAAGAGAACTGATGAAGTATGAACAGTGGGCCCAAGGATTAAGTGACAGCTCATGCGTACAAAGTACCTCAGTGAACAAACGTACCCTTTTCTCAATTGCCACAAAACTTGTAAACTGGGTCACAATGGAGTTCTTCAGACTGAGCTCAATGATTTGGGACTTCAACAGCTGCTTCTTCATCTAAATAGGTAAGACACAGGCAGATTGTTATTTCAAAATAACACAAAGAGCTCTAATCAAAGCAGGTGAAGTATAAGGCTGAAAACAGTGAAGAGATGCTTCTCCGAATGGTGAACCAAATAAGCATTGGCAAACCACTCCCACAATAATAAGGTCAGTATATTGTGGCTGCTGAAAAGAAAAGCTGGCTACAAAAGCTGTGAGGTTTTATATTTGAGGGCATCTGTCTTGCTCCACATACAATGACCCCATGTCCCCTCCCTGTCAGAAAGGGATTCCTTCCCTCCCCAAAGTGCAAATGAAAACAAAACCGCATACTAATGCATTTATTCTTGCCCAGGGGCCGCAACAGGAGCAGGGATTTCAGGTCCTGGGCAGAGCAATCCTATAACCACATGGCACCGGGACCCCACATATTGTTGGAACTTCAGATATGCCCATCTGAATCCATAGTACTATACTACTTTGACACATCATGGCTACGGATGTAAAAAGGCAGCAATTTCCATTCCAGCCAGTATGCACCACAATCAGTGCTGTTTCTGTTCCACTGCAGTTCCGTTTCCGTCAAATACTACACTATTTGTCTTGCTATCCATTATTTAACGCAAGTTATGTAGCTTACAGAAAGTACGCAACTTTTTTTATCAACTTGCACAATATTCTTTTCAAAGTAAATCTTATATTATTTAGAACTGATATTTTTGTAATGTGCAGGTTTGATCAATTACAGTGCAATTCTATACACGCCTCTTCAGAAATAAGCCACACTGCGTTCAATGGGATACGTATAATGTATATGATTGTGGCCCTAACCTCCTACAATTCATCAAAAGTCATATCTAAATGAGCAGCAGCTGTAACAAAAATGGCGGCCAATAAATTGTTCCATGTTTTTCATTTTACTTTTGTTTTTTGGCAACGTACCTCATGTTCTGTTTCATCTTCATCAAGAATCCCTTGTTCATAATCTCGAATGAAGGCTCTTGCTGCAAGTTTGTGCAGCATCTATACAGATTGGGCAGAGACAGGTGAGGGGGGGAGAGAGAACAAAGAATTAGTAGCAGTAATAAATACAGTATGTATATACAAAAAACCAAGTTTTAAAAATAATTATTACACTTTAAGCAACATTTTGGCTGCAATCCCATATGCACTTACCAGATACTTAGACCCACTGACCTAAAAGGAAGTTATGAGTAGACATTTATAGGATTACTACGCCCAGTCAGGATCAATACCATGATACGTTGGAAAGGGTTTTATTTTTTTAAGGAAAAAACCCTTTCCCTCCTGTGCCATGTTACTAACAAAAATTGCCCACAGGGATCAATTGCAGTTTCCCTCCCAGAGCAAATGTCAGCTTTTGGGGGAGGGGCACAATTTATCCAACATTTCAGAGGGGGGACCTGATTAGATGACTTTGATTGGACAAACACACCTGTTTCTGCCACCTGCAATAATAATATCTATCTATCTATCTATCTATCTATCTATCTATCTATCTAGGGACGCGGGTGGCGCTGTGGGTTAAACCACAGAGCCTAGGACTTGCCGATCAGAAGGTTGGCGGTTCAAATCCCCGTGACGGGATAAGCTCCTGTTGCTCGGTCCCTGTTCCTGCCAACCTAGCAGTTCAAAAGCACGTCAAAGTGCAAGTAGATAAATAGGTGCCACTCTGGCGGGAAGGTAAATGGCGTTTCCGTGCGCTGCTCTGGGTTGCCAGAAGCGGCTTAGTCATGCTGGCCACATGACCCAGAAGCTGTACGCCGGCTCCCTCAGCCAATAAAGCGAGGTGAGTGCCGCAACCCCAGAGTCGGTCACGACTGGACCTTTACCTTTTTATCTATCTAGATGGCAGGATAGGGGTGTGTGAGAAGGAAGGCGGATTGCACAACAGCAGCAGCCATGCATGGGAGTGAGGAGGGATGAACACTGAGAGGGGGAAAGTGGTAGTTTAAAACAACAGCTTCTAAATCCCCTATTCTGACTTATTTTAGACCCTGATGTAGCTTATGAGAGAAGCATGAGCTCACCGTGCCCGTTGTCTTCTGCAGCTCAGTTGTGGACACCACAGTCTGCAGCTCTTTGTCGTCTATTAGTGCATTTAAAGTGGCCTGAAAGAAAGAAGAACAAGCAGAAATATTCCTTTTATTTTAATTAAATATGCTGAATATTCACTGTTAAGGGTAACAGAATGTGCTGTGTTGCTTTTTCATGCAAGTACGGTGACATAAATACAGCGTGCAGCACGATTGTTTAGTGTCTCATAAAATGAATTACTCTTGTAGGTCTTAAGGACCACCTGACCCCTTATACCCCTCCCCAATCACGGAGCCCCATGGCTCCAAAAGCCGGGCAGTCAGTGTTGCAGGTCCAGGACTATGCAACTCCCTTCTAGCCAAGATTAGACAGGCACCCTCAGGCACTAACACTTTCCTGTTCCCACAGGTGCTTTAAACTAATATTTGGGTTTCAGGATGGCCATTCATAGTTTTATTCTTCATATGGCTTGTTTTCAGGCACACCACTTAGAAATACTAATGATTCAGCGGCATACAGTGCGTGTTGGCATCCGCCTGCCTTGGGAGACAATGGGAGGAGAGTGCCTTTGGAGGTGGAGCCAAACTGTTGGAAGGGTACAGAGCCTGCTGTGGCTGCAGAGACTGATAGGGGAGAGACATGTTTTGTTGCATCTGGGGAAGATGAAGGAGATGCCTTAAATAACTAAATAATACATGCTGCGTATAATATATAAATAGTGGTTGCTAAAATGGGCATATTTGTCCAGCTGTGAATTTAAGACTAAATGGACTTACAGGGGGGAAAGGGGAGTGTCCTTTTTAGATGATAATGTATCACCTGCATTAGCATGCGATGGATGGCCTCTTGCAAGAGTCTGTTGCAACTCTACAATTCTACTCTAAAATATGGCCGGGCTGCTCAGCTGTGTTTGAGGTGCCTTCTGTTCGTGCCAAGTGGACAACTGCCCCAAAGTTGTGCCTTACAGCACAACTGCATTTGTCATGCTTACTACGGCTATAGTATTGTTTTGCCTGCTCCACAATTCTTAGCAAAGTCATTTTCACTTCAGCAGAAAGGGACTCTTCTGGATCTATCCTTCAGCTTGTTTGTCGTTCTTGCGTTCCTCCACTCTCACTTAAACTTTCCATTTGTGCCATTAGATGGGGAAAAAAATTCCAAAGCACTTGCATGGAGCTAAAAGTATTTGGCAGTTGCTTGTACTACACAAGGTGGTGAGATTAGGTTGGCGACAAGCTTATTTACCTGAGTACAGTGAGAGATGAATCCATAGATCAGAAGTCGGTCGTGATTGAAGAGAGACTGTATCTGAGCAGGTGCGTACATTAGCTCAGGTGCATCAAAATCAAACTGCTGCCATTTGATGGAAATGGCATTGCACCCTAAAGAAGACATTCTTGATGTCTGACTCTTCATCTGGATGCAGAGAAGGAAACAGAAAATTATTATTTGTTGCTTTCGTACAGGGTAAAAGGACACAAGAATTATACAGCTACACAGTTTTTTGTACGCCACTTCATCAGGCAGACAGGGGGCAGGGATATATTCACCTGAAATGCATGGCCTTTTGGCTTCCCTGTGCCTGAACCCACCACCAACCCATCCAAAATAAAAACTCCTATTCATGAAGCTGCCATCTGTGCATGTCCACTCATCTGCATATGTGCAATGGCTGTCTCAAACGTTCACATCATTCTTAAGCACAAAATGAACGCAGCTTTCGTTTTCCAGCCAGATCGAAACTGGGTTGAGAAAGAATGCATTAAACAGCAGAATTTGTCAATAAACAACAGGCTTGTGTTTCTAATGCCATGTGAATGGTGGTCCAAAAATTAGCAGTGGGAGTGCACTGGATGCAGAATAAGTAGCAATGTGAAGATACTCTGTCACTGGAGTACAGATGCACCCCATCCTGTTTCTCTGCGGGGTAGCAATCTAAGCAAACTTTCTCCGTATAAGCTGACCTCTCAGAATAAAAAAGAAATGAGCACGGTACTTCTAGACTGGTTCACAGACAGCAGTGCATGCTGAAGCATTTGATATACCACAAACACAGGGACATTGGCCTCTTATCTGAGCATGAAGTGCCTCAACAAGATTTCATATATTTTCCACATAAGCCACAGGTTCCCTCATCTCAACATCGCAGTAAAACAAAAAACGAAAGCCTCCTCCAAATATTCCCACAGAGCACAGGTGCCAGGCCCCAGAGGCCCTAGGTGCCATGGCTCCCACAACGTTTTAAGTGAGGGGGCCGGGAACATGCAAAGTTTGGGGCAGCCGCATGCAAACACACCCCAGTGTGCGAGCTACATCATCACGCCGCTCCAGCGTGCACCCACTACATCACTGCACCCAGCTAGGGATGCGTGATGACGTAGCACATGTGTGGCAGGGGCGTGATGATGTAGTGCACACACCACATGGCATGCATGCCCCCCCGGAAGGGCACACGGCCCTGGGCACCCGCAGTAATGGGGGGCAAGACAGCGCCACTGCCACAGAGGAAGCTTACAAAAGCAATCTCACAAAAGGAGCTGGCCCCTCTGTGACTACAGAAAAAAGATATTAAAATATACTTGCCTTTCTCTCCCAGTTATATTTGGATTTTGCATCAAAGTATTCAAAGGCTCCAGCTCCATACTGGGCTAAAGATCTCAGCATGTGACGATTTGCTGCGGGGCTAATGCAATTTGTAAAGGTTTAAGTTAATGGCCAGTTTGAATGAGATGCGGAATTTAAAAGAGTGGGGAAACTGCAGGAAAATATCAACCTGAACAGACAACACTGAATATTTTGCTTAGTATATCCTGGACATTCGAAGCAACTAACTCCCTGCTTGCACAGGGTTGCGTTCTGGGTCATTGTGTGCATTGACAGAGCAAGTGTAAACCTGCCCTGTACTGCCCCCTTCCAGGGCCAGAAACATTGTGCACATCAGCCGTTGCACATGCCTTGGTCCCACCCAAAATGGTTGTTCCCTCTACTTCAATTGAACCACATATCTTAAATAATAAACCTTTGTCCTGCTTCTACTTGTAGTAGAAAGCTGGGCAAAGCTAGCCAAGAGATTTGGGAGGGCACATAGCTCAGTAGCTGAGGACATACTTTGCGTGTATAAGGAACAAGTATGAAGATCACAGGTTCAGTCAAGCTAAGCTACTGTTGCTGCTTCTGGCTCGTAGTGCTTTGTCACTGCTAGCTGTGCTCTATGCCCCCACTCCCTGCCTTGCTCTGAGAAGAAGAGTTTGGATATGATATCCCACTTTATCACTACCCTAAGGAGTCTCAAAGTGGCTAACATTCTCCTTTCCCTTCCTCCTCCACAACAAACACTCTGTGAGGTGAGTGGGGCTGAGAGACTTCAGAGAAGTATGACTAGCCCAAGGTCACCCAGCAGCTGCATGTGGAGGAGCGGAGACGCGAACCCGGTTCACCAGATTATGAGTCTACAGCTCTTAACCACTACACCACCTTCCAGAGAAATGGAGGTGTCCTTCCTCAGAAAGAGGCAAGTCTAGGAGGAGTGGCCTAGGAGGGAGCCAGCACCTCCATCACTCTTCCGGAGTAGTTGGACATCTTTTAAAATTATTAATGGAAATCCCTTTAAACCCAAGTTGTATTTAAAATACTCTAAGGCCTAAGATGCAAATTCACCACCCCCCCAGCCCTGCCAATAGCCTCATTTTGCCTAATGAGTAGGTCATGAGTAGGTTATTTTGCCTAATGAGTAGGTCTGTCTCCACTGAAAAGGATATCAAGGAAAACAGATGGTCGGAATGAACAATACTGAGCTAGATAAACCAAGACTTTGACTTAGGATATGAAAGATTCATATTTTAGCTTCTAGGGGTGGGGGTTCCAAATAGTGCACTTTCACGCCCTCAGGTACAACCTGGTTTCTCCCCACAAGTTTACACTGCCAAGTGCTGCGGTGACAAACCATATTATCAATTTGCTTACATTATTGGCCCTTTATCTTAACATTGATACAAAATGCAATTATGATCCCAGATAATTATCCTTTACAGAAGAGAGCTCAGGACACACATTTTTTTAAATATGTGCAAACATTATAATAAAAAACCTCCCAGATAACTGACTACTGGGCTGAGCGCTACTGATGCCCCAAGTCTGCCAACCAGAGCAAATGACTCACTCTACCATCCTAAAAGCCTGGCATATTAAATACACTTTGTAATTTTCCCAGAGCACAAAACAAAGTGTTCAGTCAATTTGGACCTACCCCACTCCGCATGTGAATATTCTAGTGTGGTGTGTATTTTTCTTCAAAATCTGCAAGGTCGTGCCTTCGTTCTGAATATGTCCATCAGATATAAGAAGAATGTTGCGCCTGCTTTTAGAAGGGTACAGCAAACTCAGGTAATGCAAAACCTTCCATATATCGGAATTTCCCATTGAAGCTGTGGCAGACTAAGAAGGAGGAAGGTAACAAGAAAGGGTAATTAAAAAAAAAGGTATTTATTTTCTAGTTGCAAAATTGTACACATATAAATCATAAAACATGACATGACTAATGAAAAAATGGGGCACTAGGGGAGGGTAAAATACTAAACGTTTTATTTTACAGTACATAATAAGGAGGCGGTTACAGTAAACCAGCAAAATGAGTTCACCAGTAAGTCAACTTGGAAAACACAAAGTGATATGCATGAGCTGATGAGTAGTGCCTGCTTATCTATGCCATATTGCAATATATGTTGTGGGTATTTCTTGTCCATGAGCAGTGGCGTAGCGTGGGTTGTCAGCACCCGGGGCAAGGCAAGTAATTTGCGCCCCCTAACCCGTGAATTTGCGCCCCCTAACCCGTAGATTTGCGCCCCCTAACCCTAACCCCCAGATGTTGCGCCCGGTGCGGCCGGCCCCCCGTGCACCCCCCACGCTACGCCACTGTCCATGAGATAGATAGATAGATAGATAGATGATAGATAGATAGATACACACACACACACACACACACACACACACACACACACAGAAAGGGTCATTTTAGACCCTTGTTTTTAACCAACTAGTGATCAGGTGTGGCTAAGGGTGGTCAATTGCTCCACTC